CGAATGTGCGGTGTATATTTTATACATTTATAGTTTTGTAATAACATTGTAACGGATTTTTGGTTTTACCATCTCCAAAGTAGAGGCGATAAAGATGTCAGGATTAAAGAACAAAGCTTCTATTTAAGTATTTACTGTATTTAAAGTTCAGTGTTGAATTAATAAACTCACCAAACTAATAAGTATTAGATATTATATGTGTTAATAATTATATGTATGTATTTATTGATTACTCTTTGTTTGATCATATATTAAGAAGAGGGTCTGAGGTCAAATGTATCCATTTTTTTTTGTTAAATTCTAGACATATATAATGTAATATATAAAATGATAAATATTTTAAACGACTCGTAAGTAATTAATTACATTCATTTGAACTTATCTCAAAAAGTGCGTGATTCATACGCAACTCAAATAATTTACGCGCGATTATTCATAACTAACACGCACACAAGTTCGTCAAAAAAGTATATCCCTGTATAATTCACTAGTGATTTCTCAATTGGAGTACGCATCAACTGTCTGGAATCCACATTATTCCTCACATATAAATCTAATACAAAAGTCTACTTTGTCAGGACTTCTTTTATTTTGTCAGAATATCCTTCTGTACAAATATATACAAATTTGGTCCTGCTTTTACTTAAAAATTAATTTCTCTGGAAATTCGAATAGAGCTAAGGGATCAAATGTTTTTTTTTTTACTTTAAGAGTAAGTAATTAAAAACGTTATTGAATCATGTTATCTTACTTTAAAAATTATTATATTATTTCATTTAAGCATCCCAGATCAACTCTCGTGCAAATGATCAGTTTTTTATGCCGTTGTGGGGTTTATCTTTAAATGTGATTGTTCTTAACATTTAGGTTTTAGTTTTTCCATTTCTATTTTCATTTTTCATCCATCTACATCATCATCAGCCGCAAGACGTCCAATGTTGAACATTGCCCTCCCTCTTAGAACGCCACAACGAACGACACTTTGCCATTTGCACCTTTCAACGCTACGTCTTCCGGTTCGTGGTCGCCATTCGAAAACCTTTACTCCCCATCGGCCATCAGTTCTTCGAGCGATTTCATCCATACCATTGTACTTTTATAAATATAAATAACTTTAAAATGAGATATTATAATGGTATACTTCAGTTGCGAAGTGTATATCTAATAGTGAAAACTATATTGTCCCGCATATCCGTGTGTAATTTTACAATTTATTTTATGTAAGTGCCACAACGCAGAAATAAAATGAAATAAAATAAACGGTAACAAATTTTGTTCTATATTGAATAAAATTTGTTACCGTTTTGTTTCGTTGAACCGAATTATCGGAAGGATTTACAAGATATTTGTCGTGGATCTAAATAATTGCGGATTAGCCCCTCGGGGAAGGAAGGAGCAACGAGGAGACCATTTAATGGACAACCAGTAAGACTTCTCAATGAAATAAATCACGGGGAGTTAATGGGAGTATTCTGTGTATCGTTCGATAATTAATCACCGTTCTCAAGTCTCGGCCGTTTAAGGAGTTCGGAGTCCCTCGGGGCGAAGGGGGGGGGGGAGGGAAGGGGGGAGGGAGGCCCTGCTTTGCCGCCCACAGTTGGATAATCCCTCCATTTACATAATTGCCGTATAAAAAGGAGAGCTTCCCAATTTGCCAAATTGATTCAAACGACACTGTTAAACGTATCGAGCGCGTTAGTAGCGTAGTCATTTCTCCAGCGGCTCCGGTTAGAGATCCCTTATTAAGTCACTTGGTCTATTGGATGGGTTCGATCTGAGCTTGTAGGTTCAAATCTCTATGTGTATGCAGCAATAAATATGCGGTAAATACTACGGTACACCCAAATGTTTGACTACTTTTCTCGTCGTCTGACAGGAGACCTTAACTTGTGTATAAAATCTTCACATATTATTACGTCATTTATTTTAACATTTACAGTCTTTTTTTATCTAATGGAGATAAGCGATAAAGGATAAGCGAGGAGATATTAGATTTAAAATCAGATATTATATTTAATGGACAAACTCGATAAATGCACGTTAAAATCCTCTCCCATTGATGCAATTAATGTATTAAAAAATAATGTTACCTATTGTCGACAAACGTTTAAATTTAATCACATAGATACTAATGATATTATAAAAGTTTTGAATTCTATTAATCTTAAAAATACAGGAGATTTGTGGGGCATGTCCATAAAATTAATGAGTACAATAATGCCGTATATTGCACCATATTTGGCAAATATTTTTAACAAATGTATAGATTCTGGAATATTTCCAGATCTTATGAAATTCAGTAAGATAATCCCCGTTTTCAAAAGTGGGGATGTGGGGATAAAAATGATCCAGGAAATTACAGACCTATCTCCATATTGCCATCTCTGAGTAAAATTTTTGAAAAACTAATTTTTAAATCAACTCTTAGTACATTTTAATATGAACAAAATTTTCCACAATGAGCAATATGGATTCACTAAAGGCAGATCGACAACGGATGCGGGTGTCGCACTTGTCAAGCATATTTATAACGCCTGGGAAAGGTCACAAGATGCAATAGGTGTCTTTTGCGACCTTTCAAAGGCTTTCGACTGTGTAGACCACGAAACCCTCCTTCAAAAGTTAGATTATTATGGCATTCGTGACATCGCCCTCAATCTCATTGCCTCTTACCTTAATAATAGAATTCAAAAAGTATCTATAAATGATGTAAATTCCACAGGGTCCCCCATGAAAATGGGTGTCCCACAAGGATCAATCTTGGGTCCATTATTATTCTTAGTGTATATAAATGATCTCCCCTTTTATGCCAGTGAGTTATGTGATATTGTACTGTTTGCTGACGACACATCGCTCATTTTTAAGGTTGACCGAAACGTGTCGGATTATGACGACGTGAATAGTGCACTTTCGCGTATCCTCCACTGGTTTACCGTTAATAATATGGTGTTAAATGCTAAAAAAACTAAATGCCTTCTTTTTACCCTTCCCAGCGTAAGAAGGCGAAGTTTTAGCTTAACATTAAATAGCGTAACCCTTAATCCTGTTGAGTCCGCTGTATTCTTGGGAATTACAGTGGATTCAAAGCTCCAATGGAGTCCCCATCTATCATCTCTTGCGAACAGGTTAAGCTCCGCTGTTTTTGCAGTTAGGAAGGTTAGGCAGCTATCAGACATCGACACTGGATCAATCTTGGGTCCATTATTATTCTTAGTGTATATAAATGATCTCCCCTTTTATGCCAGTGAGTTATGTGATATTGTACTGTTTGCTGACGACACATCGCTCATTTTTAAGGTTGACCGAAACGTGTCGGATTATGACGACGTGAATAGTGCACTTTCGCGTATCCTCCACTGGTTTACCGTTAATAATATGGTGTTAAATGCTAAAAAAACTAAATGCCTTCTTTTTACCCTTCCCAGCGTAAGAAGGCGAAGTTTTAGCTTAACATTAAATAGCGTAACCCTTAATCCTGTTGAGTCCGCTGTATTCTTGGGAATTACAGTGGATTCAAAGCTCCAATGGAGTCCCCATCTATCATCTCTTGCGAACAGGTTAAGCTCCGCTGTTTTTGCAGTTAGGAAGGTTAGGCAGCTATCAGACATCGACACTGCCAGACTTGTTTATTTCAGTTATTTCCACAGCATCTTGTCTTACGGCATTTTGTTGTGGGGTAGTGCATCTGATATAAATTCTATATTTATTCTTCAAAAAAGAGCTGTCCGAGCAATCTATAACATCGGAGCCCGGAATACACTCAGAGACCTTTTTAAAGAGATTAATATACTCACTGTTGCGTCTCAATATATTTACTGTAACATTTTGTATGTTAAAAATAATATTAATAGTTATCTAAAGAATAGTGACAGACATAAACTAAATACTAGAAATAAGGACAAACTAACTACGCCATTGTTTCGTTTACAAAAAGTAAACAGGTCGTTCATGGGGCAAGGTGTGCGCATGTATAATAAAATCCCACAGTCGATATTAAGTCTGCCACTTGATGAATTTAAACGAAAAATTAAAAGTAAACTTATGGCTAAAGCCTATTATTCTATTGCTGAATATCTTGACGACGCCAATGTGTGGGGTTAATACTGTTGATACTCACGTAGGCTAAAACAAGACTATTGTACATGTACTATTATATTGTAAACTGATTTTTATTTAAAAAGAGCAACTGTTGAGTTTCTTGCCGGTTTCTTCTCAACAGAAACTGCTTTCCGAACCGGTGGTAACTTACGAACGTGTTCATTTCTTGTAAAATTTTGACGTTTCATAAGAACGCGCAAGCGTCTATGTGAATAAAGATATTTTTATTTTATTTTATTTTATTTTTTAATGAAATTGATTCGGTGTAATTGAATAATAAACCAACATGCATTGAAATGTACAACCAAGTGCTTTGACACAACAAAATACAAACAAAACAAAAACAAATTCTACAACACGCTTCATTCCAATATGTCTAAATATTTTGATGAATTCACTTTTAAATACATAACCAGAGATGTTAATTATTTTACCATGTTTTTTTTATTAACTCGCTTTCTTGTATGTTTGTCCGGGAAATATTTTGTAATTGATTTTAAACCAACTTCCCGATGAGCTAGATACATGAAATTTTGACCACAGCTTAGAAATATGAAAGGCAATGTATGAAAATGTAAAAAGTGAAGACGAATAAAAAAAATATGTCTCTTTCAACAATATTTTATCTTCAAAAAGTATTTAGAAGATACGTATCTTGTATCTCGTATTTCAGATAACTAATATTTCCACAAGTATCGTATCTGATATCTCAAATATTACCTTTTATAGTATCGTGTATTTTTCTATTCCAGATTCTTTTTATAGGGTATCTCTGTACATAACTTAAATCATCACGTAATATTTAATAATGACGCTTTAACCGATCTTGCAAGAACTGAATTTGTAGGAGTTTTTTGGTTTGGTCGCATATGATTTTGCTGACGACAAACTTTGTTCAGCAGACATAACGGAAAAGTGCCCTAATGGTGCTGTGAGCAACGGTGGCGGGAAGCAGCGTCGCTCGAGGACGAACTTCACTCTGGAGCAATTGGGAGAGTTGGAGAGGCTGTTCGACGAGACCCACTACCCCGATGCGTTCATGAGGGAAGAGCTGAGCCAACGGCTTGGCCTGAGCGAGGCCAGAGTTCAGGTGAGTCGATCTTAAGTTCTTTAAAATATTAAATATCAAATTTTTGCACATGGCTTGTATAATAGTGTAAATCCTTTCTGATGATTTTTACAAAGCTTCATTACACTTGGGTTGGTTTGACGAAAACAAGCGCTGAGATTTAAATAGAACGACTTCGTCAATGATTATCGAACACAGGTTATTTTTAATTAATAGATACTTCTACAGCACCTGACGGGTTCCAAATGCGTTGCCAACTTACCTTTAAATAAACTTTAAAAACCTTTAAATAAATTGAGCGCGGATTACCTGGTTACCTCAATCACCAGACGAAACGTGAAAGTATTATATTTTCTTCTTCCTTCCACTTCATTCCAGTCTCCTGTGACAGTTTTCCCGGACGTGCCTGACCATTCATGCGACAGACAGAAGGTGCTTCGTGGCCTTACCATAAGTAATACTATTTCTACGTTTGTGAAATACAATTGCGATGAATTTTTTGTCATCTTTTAGCTGGTGATATCAGAAGCTATTTTAGAAGCTCAGTGCATTATTTTATTGCCTAGACTTTCTTCACACATTATAAGCAGTGACGATATTTGGAGGTATTTCGTATTATTGTTCTGATTGGTAATTTCATTATAAATTATGACAACAGAAACTTTAATTTCATATCGATGTAGGTCGCTTGGCTCAACATTTTTTTGTTTTTTTAATTTTTTGGTAAACGGCGCACTTAATGTCTACTGTCTAATGGCATTATCTACCAGTCTTAATTATTAATCCTAATGTTTAATGGCTCTCTCTACCAGTCAACCCTTGTCATGGCGAAAAGCATTTGGTCGCTTTGCAACCAACTTCATCCTGTCGTAAAAATTGTACTCTCATATTTCAAAAATGTAGTGAATCTTCAATTGCGCAATGCGCCTGCACCCTGTCTGTGGTGAGTATCCATGGGTGGTGTTAGTCATTCACACAGACATTTTCAATTGAAAGAACTGCTTGTCTACTCTTAATTTTTTTTTTCTATTCATATGTTACATGTAATAATATAATAATATAATAATTACTTAAAGTAACGTAGTGGATACCTGTATGTTATATACTCATATCTTACCGACATTTGGGAAATGTAATTATTGCCCCGCGATAGCTCTTTGTCCGGGCGCTCGACTTCAATATAGGTACTCGAGCAACCTGAGTTCGATCCCCGGTGCCGGTCCCAATGAAATTGTTAATTTTAAGTGCTGAATTATGACGTGCTCAGCAATGAAGGTAAACATCGTGAAGAAACCTGCATATTTTCGAAATAATAACAAAAAAATATTTCGAAGATATAATTATGAAGTCCGCCAATCCGTAGTGGAGCCGCGTGGTGGACTATGCCGTGATATCCCCTGTACAGAGGAGACTTTTGCTCTGCAGTGGGATATATATAGGCTGATACTAAGCTACTAATTATTTAAAGGTCATCGTGTTCTGTGGTTGGAATGGATGTACAAAAAAAACGGTACTGATTATGAGTTTAAATTAATGATTTGTCGTATATGAAAGGGGTTTTAATTAATATTTTAATTAAAAACAACAATGAAACGAGCCACTCCTTATATATTAGTGGATAACGGTATGTTGAATATAAAAAATAAGTTCCTTAAATGAAATTATCTTATTAAATGTTACGAATGAGTGTAATGACGTCGCGAAATCGAATCGAACATGCAAAATATACTAAAGAAACCAACAAGTACTCGCCTAACACCCAGTGTGTTAGGCGAGTATTCGTTGGGTCCTCATTAATAGGGTTCGTATTCGTCATCAATAGGGTGGATCCATATCCCGTACCCCTACAATGCGGATCCACTGAACATTGCGATCCCCGCTTATTACTAATGCAAGTAATTAGTTGCGAGCGTCCAACAAGTGCCACTTTATTGGCCATATATCGCGATTAGTGCCTGATCGGCGTTAAGCGTTATACGTAAGTGTCCGGTAGTAGGGGACTTAAGTACCCCACGAAATGACACATAAAGATAAAAGCCACTTGACCCCGAGTTGTATTTCTTCACTACTGTCAAGTTAGGTAGCCTCTGTCTTCGTTTTGAATCACTTTTATTATTTCTTTGTTATGTTTTTCGTTTACAAATTATAACTTTACGAGATTATTCGTAAGTTATCTCTACTTATATAAAAATACACAAATTACTTATTGTATTATAGTAAAGTTAAATATTAGTTAATTATTTATAATTGATTTTAATTTCTTTTTAAGTTAATTACTTACATGTTTTAAAATACAGTCGTAAATCAGTTAGTTTGAGGAACAATCTATCATTTTACATAGCTTTTTAGAAGTTGAAACGTGAATTAATATAATAAGACGTAATTAATACTTTTTTAAACCACTAACTATTCCATCTACTAAAAATTTGCCTATAAAATATTTTCATGCCAATCATAAATTATAATTTTGAAATTGTTGACAATAAATTATTATGCAAACGTTTGACATAGAACGGAGTCCCGGTGTGTTTGCATGTTTGTTTGTTTAGTCAAATTGTCTAATGTAATCAGAGCTAATGAATTCGCCCCTAGTTAGCGTATCGGTCGCTGGCAATGGAGAGACGCCTACCTTTCATCTGCACGAATTACAAAGCGAATAATCTTAAATAATAATATATAATTGTTTTATTCTTATATTTCAATTATACTTCGTTGCTGCATCCTACGAGATTTAATAAACCATGTAGTCCGTTCTCTGTTGTACTGCATCATCACACGAATTTTAGAATATTTTATAAAAATAAATAAAAAAGAAATGAAAAAACAGTATATCCGTTGACTAACATAGACAATGTTGGCTGCCATGACTGGCCGAGTCTCATTCGTTTTCCGTGTGTTGCATCATCCGCGCGCGCGCCGTTTATATTTTTTCCGTATAGTGAAATAGTTTAGTTTTAAGTGAATTTAAAGTGAAAAATGGGGAAAAGAACAAATGGAAGAGTGACGACGAGATTAAAAACAAAATAAGGCGTTTAGAAAACGAGTTAATGTCTCGTCAACGACCGTAACATAAATTTGTAAATGAGGGTAAGTACACCGCGCCACCGAGATTATATTGTTTTAACGTTTAACGCGATAAATTTTAAGAAAAGACGACTCCACTCAATATATATTTATTACATGTGGTGGCACGCGATGTCACCCGGAGATATCGTTGTTTACAATGATATTATATACAAATAGGAGTTAGATATGACAGTAGCGCACCGAAATCGAGGCACTCAAATTACACCAATTGGTGTAATTAGATTGTGATTCTATAGACTTCTTTATCTTTCCGCAATTTACGTTCCATATCATCTGTTTATATGTCATTTAATGTTAAGCAGAACAATTTTTAATCGCCGCGCAGTATGGACATGCGCCATCTATATTATTAAACATCATTGTTTGTTTGATTTTACTTTCTTAATGTGATGACACGCAATGTCACTCTGAAAGCAAAATTAACTTAATAAATATTATATAACGATTTCCTAAGTAATGACACGCGATGTCATTCGGAAATTCTACCTTACATTCTTAAGTGCTGGCACGTGATTTCACCCAAGATGTAAATATGGAATCTGATTAAATTTGGTTTCAACAGATTCGGACATACATATGTCATATAGTGTTAAGCGGAACAATTTGGAAACGTCGCGCAGCATGGACATGCGTTATCTTTATTATTAAACATCATCGATTGTTTTGTTTGATTTTACTTTCTTAATTTGATGGCAAGCAATGTCACTCAGAAAGCAAATTAACTTTATAAATTACTAGCTGTTTTTCCGCGACTACGTCTGTGTAGAATAGGCTGAAGGCGTAACATTCAGACAGAAAGACAGATATACATAAAATATGTATATAAATTATAGCATATGTCTTATTCCGATGTAAAAGCTATATTATTGTAAAGTTTCATTAAAATCCATTCAGTAGTATTATTATATGAAAGAGTAACAAACCATACATACATACAAACTTTCGCGTTTATAATATTAGTAAGGATTGCTAAGTAACGATTTCCTAAGTAGTGGCACGCGATGTCATTCGGAAATACTATCTTACATTCTTAAGTGCTGGCACGTGATGTCATCCAAGATGTAAATGTGAAGCTGGCTAAATTTGGCTAACGACCTCTACGAGGATGGAAAATTTAAAGCATACCACGTGACACGCAGTAATGTGGGCACCAGCGACGAGGATATTCCTGAACACTGAACAAATAGAATCAGTTGTTCAAGTGCATGCAACTACGCCCCTTTGCGTGTCGTTGGTTCCGGAATATGCAATTGAAGAGGTTGGCGAACAGCAAGCGCCTACTATCCCTACTGAAGGTGAGAAAAATGCTTTCCCTTTGGACATCTAGGTAGTACCTGTAGAGGCCAAAAAATCGGAGAATTTAAAAAAAAAAACAGAACAGAACAGCAGAAATCTCTGAACGTTGGGGAAAAATATTGATCGAAGGCGTTTGGAAAAGATGCAAAAACCGACTAAGTACCGGTATCGCAGAGCTAGTAGCCAAAGATCTCAGTCAAATAGATATTACCAAACAAATATCCGCGATAAATCAGATCCTACTCTATGAAGAGACAATGAATCGTAGACGGCTAATTATTCCAATGTTGGATAAAAGTTTATTAATATAATCCAAGGCGTGAAACGTGAAAAATTTATCTTTGGTGATACTTTAGGCAAAATCATTAAAGTTACCAAATCAATTGAAGAATCGGTACACCCACAACCGTCTACATCGCGAAAGTACCGAGCGACCCTCTGTCAGTCGAGCGAGCAGGGGGTGATGCGCCGCACCCCGTGCGCAGTCTCGCTACTATACGCCACTGCCGCCGGCTGCGCTGAATGCGCCCCGTCGCCAGCCGCCAGCCGGGCCGGCAGTAGCATCGGCGCAGGCGACGTTAGAGGTACCACATGCTGGTCGTATATCAAAGTCAAAATCAAAGTATCTTTATTCAATATAGGCTTAACTTAAGCTCTTATTGAACGTCAACAAAAAATCTACCACCGATTCACTAAACTAGACCTATACAGAGAAAAACCGGCAAGAAATTCTGCGGTCTTGTTCTGCTTGTTATTTTTTTCTTTTGTGATGCAATTATACAAACTTATTTGGGTATGAAATCAGCAGCAGCCAGAGGTCTTGCAAGTGCAGAGCATGAGTCATTTCCACACATCCTTGTCCTCAATGTATTCTTGGATATTATAGTAGGCCCTTGCCATTAGGTTAGCTCTTACAAATTGTTTGAAATTGTTTATACTTAGTTGTTTCTGGATGTCACCTATTTTATTATAAAAGTTGATGCACCTACCAAGAAACAACTTTTTGGTTTTAGCCAGTCTAAACCTCGGTACTTCCAGAGTGTCACCACGGCCCCGACGTCATGTGGAATGTTTATTCGTAAATAGGTGGATATGTACGTACATACATGATGTTCTCAAGTATGTAAAGTGACGGGTAGTAACCAATTGTGTACATAGTATCATTACTATGTACACAATTGGCTAAATATTATAACTACCGATTCCCAAATATTGGATTATTGTAAATGGTTATAAAGTATTGTTCACTGGAACACCAATTAAATTTTTGGAATCACGTTATAACCGTGCTCTAAGACGGAAATGTCAAATTCGATCGAAAAACTTAAACAGGATCAATTGTACTATGTACTCATATTGCGGTTCAATTTATTTTACCTAATTTTTTTCCTAATTTCGAAAAGTAACTGTCCATATAGATTTATACTTCATTTGAAAGCACTGAATAAGTTTGTACTACAAAATAGTACATAAAAATGGTCGATATGTTTATATTCGTGCACAAATCCTATAGGAAGCATTTTATTTATTTATTTAAAAATGTTTTGCAAATAAAACGTACAATTCCGGACTTAACACCATTAGGTGTTCTCTACCAGTCAACCGAAAATAAGTATCTCTTTGCGTCTCGAATGAATAAAAAGTGATCAAATTTTGTATCATGAAAACGACATCCAAATGCCTTGAATATACATTTACTGCATTTACTCTGAGATGGGAAAATTTAAATAATATATTATTATATTCTATGTTTTCCCTCCTTTTACAATCATATAAAAATACTTAGGAAAAATTATTAACTAAGAGGCGACCGGTATAACGGTAGTAACCTTAATGGCCGAGTCAGCCTTGATTCCTGCTATACATGTTTCTTACTAGATCCAAAGTATTTTACTTTGGGCCAAACAAAAACATGTTATTCTCTCTTTCCAGAAAGGGGCATCCTTTATGGCCCAGCCTTATCATGGAGTGCACAACGTTATCCGTGAAGCGTTCATTCTACAATAATTTGATAATGAGACCATTAATATTACTATTTATTTTGTTGATATTACTATTGATCCAATCAATATCCAATATTCAACAGTATATATGATACGGCATACAAATTTTGGTTTGCATTTGTCAATTTTATATACAGGACAGCTACTTTGTTTTATATTATGTAGGGAAGAACAGCCGGACAGTTGCCCAACAAAAGCTCTATCGGCTTACATAAATAAGGCAAGATTCTTGCGATGAAAGAATCTTGGATAGAATTTTTTTTATAACTGTTAAAAAACCCATCTGAATAGCAAGTTCCCAAACGAAAAGCCATTGGGTTAAACAAGTATACCTTAAAAAATGGGTGTTGATATAAACATACATTTAGCACATATCACGCGACAAGCGCCCACATCGGCAGCGAATCGCGCTTTTGTGTCTCTAGACGTGATAAAACGCGCGGCCGGATGGACCGGCCCCTCCTTCTGCCTTGCAAAATTTCTTTAACTTACCTTTACCAGACATTCAAAGAGATAAAACTTTCGCTGACGATTTCATGTAGATCAAAGTATAGACGTATGGTTATACATAATGAATAAGGTGATTTTCTGGTATATGTCCTATAGGGAATAATTGTAATATACTGGATTATTTTCATGATGCGTTGTTTGTATCAGTCTGCAATTGAGCGCTAAACATCTACATGGTTTATTAAATCTCCTAGGATGCAGCAACGAAGTATAATTTATGGTTAATTGAACTTACCCTAAGTGAACTTCAACCATAATTATACTAGTTGCTGCATCCGTAGATTTAAGAACCCACCCTTCCCTGAACAAAATTCCACAAATAATTGCAGACTGAAGTAGGTATTGCTGTATGTATGTGTGCTCTAAAACGAATGAGCACTCGGCCAGTCATGGGAGCCAACATTGTCTATGTTAGTCAACGGATATACTGTTTTTCCATTTCTTTTTTATTTATTTTTATAAAATATTCTAAAATTCGTGTGATGATGCAGTACAACAGAGAACGGACTACGTGGTTTATTAAATCTCTACGGATGCAGCAACTAGTATAATTATGGTTGAAGTTCACTTAAGGTAAGTTCAATTAACCATAAATAATATTTCAATGTTGCCCACAATTTTTTTTAATGTGAAGGTGAAATGTCCATGGGTGGCGGTTATCAAATAACCTGATGTTAATTGATAACCGCCACCCATGGACATTTGACATACCCGTAGGGTTGCAGACTTGGTGCCATCTTATACTAAAGTGAGCCCCGGCTACCTCACTCACCAGACGAATCGCATAAGTATGACACTTCCACTTCACGCCGGCATTCTGTGGGGTCGTGGTACTTACCCAGACGGCCCTGCTCATTCGTGCAACAGGCGAAGATCTTGCATGGCCCTATCACAGTTACCGTCAAATTTGTTATTTCACTCTTTATGTAGGTAAGTAATAGGTATTGCTTCTTCATTCTACTGTTTCTTTTTCTGTTTCAAAGATATATACCATTTATAATGAATTTTAAAATTTGAAGTAATTATGTCCTCGCAGCATAATAGGTTGCCGTTCACGACCCAATGAACAATAAGATTGTTTAATAGTAACAATCGTAATAAAAATATTTGATGTTACATTAATACATTGTTGCGAAGTGTTGTATTGAATCTCTCTGTCTCAAATTGTTTGTTATTTTTATCAGACTATGGTACGGCTCGGTAGTTTCAAACAACGGGTTTGAGCTCCGAGGGTTTTAGCTTTGAATTGAAGCCCACACGAGAAGAATCATGATCATCTGACTTTACAAGTATCTGCTGTAAGGTGAATAACACAAGGTCTAAGAGGTCTGTTCCGCGGTCCGTTCCGCTATAAGTGTTGCCTTGTGCTTGTGCACGAGGGGAGGATGAGGAGGGGAGGAATTGCTAGTGCAGATATTGGTGCTGCCGATAATTGATTATGCTGATCCAAACCAGGATTTACTCAATAAGCTTGAGCGTCAGCGCAATAGCTGTATAAGGTTGTAACGTTTTTATAGTGGGTGTCTAGATAATGATGGGAAGATTTAATAAAAGATTTATTAGCGGTTAAGAATTTGTATTTATCCCTTCAATTTAAAGTTACAATCCCTGGACTAGCTCAGATACAATATATTTTGTAATATAATAATAATAATAAGTTGGGCGCCTTGTCTGTTAGGAACAGACTGTTGTAATAATCACAATTAAGTATCTCAGGGAGTCGTGAGTACATAGGACCTACACATTACTTTGTGCGACCATAAAAGGTTAAATAATTAAATTAATTTGAGATGGTAAAACTTATGCAATTCAATTTAAAAAAAAAAAACAAAGTCCAATCAGGTAGTTATTTAAAATCTATTTCACCGCAGAGACATCTGCCCTGTGTGCACAGGTCAGCGTTGAGCTCAGAACCAGTAGAGAAAGTCAGGCCAAGTGTAGTGTGTATAGCCACACTGTTGGGGGGGTATGTAGGAGACATCCTGCCAACAAACACTAAATTGTAGAACTAACAAAGGCAGGGATTTGAATCCACCTACAATTATAAGATGTGAAAAACTTACCAACTGGAGGTAAAAAACAATATTTAATAGAGCAGCAGCTCAGACCAGCATGCCAGCCACCTATGCCTTCAGCATCCACCTGTGATATTTGAAAGACCATACTTAGAAACACGAGACAATAAATTCTCAACCTACCTTCATGTGAATTTCTAAATACATTCTCAATGCAAGTCTTTTACAATTTTAGTAGGAAACCAGTGAAAATAGCAAAGGATCTTACCACGAGGGACAACAAATCCAGCACAGAGTTTCCCAGACAGCAATCACAAATAATACGACCAGGAATGTGTTCTGATTTCAACCTCTAGCCATGCACTGTAAAAAAGCGAATTGATAAGAAAACGAAATACGTAAACAAACCAAGCAATTACTTACCGGTCGAAGATAATAGATCCACAAAAACTAATTTATCCAATGTCAATTCGAACCGGCGGCAATCTCAAATGACAATTACGACCAAATGAAGTTAACTTTTACATTCGTCCTTTCGAACAGGCAAAGGTTCAAATGACATGCATTTCGACAAAGTGATGAAATCACACGTTACAAGGTTTATATTTGGAATTCGAAAATTTGACACAACTTCCATTTTCGTAATCAGCTAAATTGGTTGCAAATTCGCGAGCGAAGAATCAGACACATTCTTCGTGTCCGTTTCTTCGCTCAAAGATTCCAATCTCTTTGAGACCAGGGCTCCTCTATCTCAAACAAAACTTTTCCTTCCGATCTGATGCACACTCTCGAAACCTTCGCTTCGATCACAATTTCTCCCTTCAAATTTCTCTTTATCGTTCCTGTTTTATGTCCAACTGTTTTCAAGGTCAAACTGTACGGAACTGTACTCTGGAACTCGCTACTCACCTCTGTCAGAAAGCGTTCGACTAAAGAGACTTTTAAACGTGCTGTCTTAAAATCTTATCTAGATGATCGACAGAATTGAACATTGAGTCAATTAAACTTCCCCTTCTTGACATAATAATCTAATACTATGTACGTATATATTTGTTTTTGTATGTGTGTGTATATGTATATGTACTGTAAATAAACCAATTGTATTAATATTACTACACGTGTATATTTATATGTAATATTTTATATAAAATCATATATTTCACATCTCACGTGGCTCTTTCGCACATCCTTATTTTCTCTACTTATTTGTCGATTGACTAGTATAGAACACCTGATGGTGTTAAGTCCGCTATTGTACGTCTTATGTGCAAAAAGTTTTTAAATAAATAAGAATTTAATTACGGATCTCTTTGCTCTAGGTTAGTTGTCTGAGAGGTAATCCGTGCACCTGTATGATTAATGATAATCATAAACTATATGTAGGAATCAAGCTGTGTCAACGTGTCTATAGTAAATTCATTTAATTTTATGGAATTATGAAAGATTAATAATATTGCGAATCAGATCTGGATGAGAATTGAATTTTAGAAACGCTATGAAAGGTAGGTACAGCCTAGTATTGCTTCCACTCCCGTCTGCGTAGTGCAATCAGGGTGACGTGCCCTCCTGGCTAATGCGGTTAGCTGTGTTTGCCCGTCGGTGCCTACAATGCACACGTCGCTACACTACGTACAAAGCACACGTGCACATAGTACGTACGTGTCGGGAAGCGTAACGCAATTATGGGACCGTTCGGATCGCTCTACTTAAGCCGACGCCGAGTTATCTAACAGCGACCTTTAACATCATAATTATGATAACACCTAATTTAATCCGTTTTTTTACTTATTAAGCTCGCCTACAGATGTTACAATAAAACTTTCTTACGTCATACACTATAATCTAAATGCTTTTATAACTTACCTCTTAGTACGTGTTTCTGTAAAAAAAAAATGTAGCAATTATTTCCAAAAAGGGAATATTAGTTCCAATATTAAATTTAGCACATATTTTAGAACTTTCGTTTTCAAAGTCCAACGGTATGTTAAATTATCTTAGGTACCTATCTACATTAATTATTTTACTTATCTACACTCAGGTCTGAAAAAATTTATCTTTAGACTACATATGTTAAAAGGCTAACCCATAAAATGCTTTTATATAATTAATATTACATAGTAAATGAAAACCACATAAAAATTGTAGAAATAAAAAGCATGACTTTCTTTGACACTGCTCTAAACTACAAAAAATTATTAAAGTTAAAAAAATCCTAGTTCTAATTTTTAAAATACATAACCCACGAGGAACGAACTGAAGGTGTTGTAAAACTCAATTTTTATTAATCCGAAACGTTTAAACGTTCCGTTTCATGTAAATTTTTATTTAAGAACTTGAATGTGTAGTTCGTAAACTAGTATGTCGGTATCAGGGACGACCACCAGTAAATTAATTATTACATTCATTAAATATTATTTAGACATTAAAACTATACATTGCAATAGCTTTAGGTATAATAGATTTACGCGATTGAATTTTACGAAAACTAGAAATTAAACGAAAAATATAAATTAAATGTATTAAATTTAATCCAAAGACGATTTTGTTTGTGTTGAAACTATACATTGCAATAGCTTTTGGTATAATAATAAATTTACGCGATTGCATTTTACCAATACTAGAAATTAAACGAAAAATAGAAATGATATGCATAAAATTTAATCAAAAGACGATTTTGTTTGTGTTGAAATTATACATTGCAATAGCTTTTGGTATAATAGATGTACGCGATTAAATTTTACCACAGCTTGTTCGATGTGTTTGATTCGAAACTAATTAGTCTTTGTTTGCAGGTGTGGTTTCAAAACAGGCGCGCAAAATGCCGGAAACATGAGAGCCAGATGCATAAAGGTAAATTGATATGCTATACGATAATTTTTTGTATGTAATGAGCAATTTTTTAATATAAAGGTAAAAGTAAATTTCCATATATATATGATATTCCTGTATCATACAGTGCATTTTTGTTTTTGAGAGTGATATTTGGGTTTAAAAGGATGGTTCAAGTAAATTAGCTTACTTTATTTATTTATTTATTTAGATACACCAACAGCATAACATATACTTACATTTATATATACATATATTTTTAGTAACAGATTTTGTTCTTATATTTACGCCAATTATTAATTTACAACATTTACGATCTAAGTACCTAAAAGTAAAAAAAAAATAAAATTTAACATAAGAATTAATAATAAAAAAAACTATATATTTAAGTAAATTATGTATGAGAAAACAATAAAAGTACAAAAAAAAGATTTCATTTTAAATTTATATGCACTCTAAATCAGAAGAGATCGTAATTTCGTTTTAAAAACATTTAACGAATCATTAAAAATATCCAAATTCCATTCGGCTACAGACATGTGATGTATTTGCTTCAAATTCTTGAAAGTGGTTAATGTAGTCCTAAATTTGTTCGGTAAGGTAATGTAATTTGTGGAACCCTAAAGAGTTTAGCAATGCGAGATCTTGGGTATTTATAAGGAACTGCTGGGCTTACTTTTTCAAAAAGTACTGAACATTTAATATTTCCTGTAATAACCTTATGCAAAAAAGATAGATCAGCTATAGTTCTTCGGTTGCGTAAAGTACAGATGTTAAAATGTTTAAGTCTCTGATCACATGGATGTCTATGCGAGATGTTTGGTGAAATATAGGCTAGATGTTTTAAAAACAAGATAGGATAGAAATAGGTCTATAGTTTTTGACATCCGACTGATCACCCCTCTTAAAAACTGGAACTATTCGAGACATTTTCCATTTATCAAGAAATACTCCATACAGTTGTGAAGGAGCAATTGAAAATTATTCTTAAGGGCAATGCAAGGAGAGATCCACATTCCACACCGTTTGATGAAAAGTTGTGGTATGTTATCTGGACCAGCGCCCTTCTCACTATCAATTGTTTTAATTTTTTTTAAGACGTCTGACTCACTAAATACTATACTATTCAAGTGGTTGGGCGATAAATTAGATGTGTGTTCTCCGGAAATATTTCCATTGTCACAAGTAGAGTAGACGGCAGAAAAATGTGAAGCGAATAATTCCGCGATATCTGTGTTGTTTGATGCAATTTTATCATCCATCTTCATGGAAGCAGGTATGGATGATAATGTTTGGTGGTGGCTCTTAATATAGCTCCAAAAGCGTTTTGGATTATTCTTAATATCATTTTCTGTTGTCTTAATATAAATTCTATAACTTTCGTCATAAAGTTTTTGGCACCGTTCATGTAATAATTCAAATTCGAATTTATCACGTACATAAAGCTTACGAAGTTTGTTTTTTTCTCTAAACAGTTTAATTAATTTTTTATTAAGCCAAACATATTTATAGATAATTTCCTCGATTATATCGTAAAAGGCGGATATCATACTATTTACATTATTTTGATTATTAAAAACAGAAAACCAATTAATTTCCTTCAAAAATGATCTAATTTGAATATAATCTGAATTGTAAAAGTTATACACGCTACGCTTCTTTACGGAATAGTCATTTAATACCAAATTGTATGAAGATGACAATGAACAAACAAAACTGGGGTGATGAGGATCCAGCTTACTAATAGGACTTGCGTATTTTAATACTTTACTGTATTAAAATTTCACTAAATGACTATGACGCCGTTGCTAAGGTTGTCTTCGGCGTCGGGGATCGTGGTTTCGATGACCCAGGCGACAAGTATTTGTGTGACCTACAAATAACTGTTCCGGATCTGGGTGTTTGTTTCCCAAGGAAGGTTGACGTCAGGCAGGCGGCCGGTCGTAAAAAAACATAGCCAAAACCGCTTACAACTTAATTCACATATTGTGCTGACCCCATCTAGGTGGGATATAACCAGGAAGGTGATAATAATGAACGTATCTAATATTCCACCATTTGATTGCCACGGAACCAATAGTTTTTTTTAATTAAATCAAGCATTGTCAGTAACTCGTCACACTCAAGACCATTATTATAAAAGTTTAAATATCAAAGTTGTCACGGTATATACGAAAAATCATATTTTTTAAATATATTTGAGATGAAAGTAACATTAATTATCAACCCTGCTCGAAAAAAATATGAAAGAATGCTCGAAAAGTTTCAAAACAGCAAACGTAAACTTCACGGCTGACTGCACCAGAGCATTAAGTATTCTCCATCATTCGATCTAACTCAATTACCTCTCCCGACGGCGCCGGTCCGACTCTAACAGTTTTTTAATTCGACCATAACTCACGCGGATGAATAATTAAAATGGCGGGCCGAGGCGGCAATCCGCGCGAGACGGTAAAAAACGCGGGAAGCTATCCACGTGCGACGATAAATCCGTAGAATTGCACAACGCACTTACGGTCGACCAGCGGCGTGCCGAAGATGTTGAAGGTCATAACACTAAGCAGGATCGAATAATGTTAATATTAATCAAAGTGTTGAAATTCGTGCCGTATTTCAGTAAAACTTAAGGCGAAGATAAACAGTGCACGTTACAAATCCATGGACAGGTATGGTTAAAATCCATTCTGAAATACATTACGTATAGGTACCATACATTCTATGGTTAATATTGAAAATAAAATTTGGCTTGTTAAATGGTAAAAGACCCTTGGATAAAGTTGACGAAATACCTTTTGTTTACGAATGAAATGTACAGACTATACATATCACTATTCACGGCAACTGTAATCATAAGGAATACGACGACAAAAGAATTTGTTGCGGCTAACCACCGCGCCCACGGCCGTCTCCGTTGATCGCGTCACTTTCGCAAACGTAAGATGACGGGGTGCCCCATAGCTCGTGGAGCGCACTATCCACGTGATTGCAAGAGCCCTGAATAACCGCTAAACGGAGCGTAAAGCGGAAAAAAGCCGCTCGCCGGAATCGAATAAAATGATTCCCCGCGGGAGCCATTCGGACGCAATCCCACCGTCCCCTGCTAAATGTCTTATTAACTTATGTGCCCCCTCCCGCACCGCTGCCCCGCGCCCCTCTGGCGACCCGCCTAACACGAGAACAATCATGTAAAGTGAAATGAAACGGTTATTTGTTACGTTTGCCCCTTTGAGAGGAACGATGAGATTCGCCGAGTTGTTATCGATTCACACGAACGCCGCCGACGCTTTGACATTGATTATTATAATCGCGCTTTTATTTGGTACTGTTTAAAAAAATGTCAATGTTATAATGTAAAAACTTTTATTGAATAATGTAATGAGAAAAAATTTGGTATAAATTATAATAACACTGAAACAAACATGTAGTGTTCGTTATTATAGTGTTGAAACTTTTGTTTATATCTGGATAATAATTTATCATTATTCATAATTCACAAACACTATTTCGCAATAAGCTACGAGGCTACGACCTCTATAAAACTACGTAATTTTCAAACGATGTATTGTGATTATAATTTCGTAGCGGCTGATTAAAAATTTGATGTTTTACCGATACTACTTAAAACTTGTACATGCCGTGAAGAAAACCGGTATATATGTTCTATGTCATATTTATTTTACAAATATTTACTCATCAGAAATCTACAACGTATCACAGGGCTCCTGAAGGTTAAACAATTAACTTATTTCCTTTACACCTTACAAATCATGTAGAGCGCCGCGGTCCATTTTCATAAAATTAAGAATTCATTCACAGCGAAGAATTGAATCTCGCCGCGTGCAAGCGTCCGTAAAGCGAACAATAACGGCCGCCGTGAAATTTAAAAATAAAAGAACGCACCGACGACGCCTAATTGTTCCCCTGTTCATGAAATTGTAAAGTTACTCGCGCACAGCGAGGGTGGCGATGTTTTATTGCGCATAAACCGCTGTAAAGATGTTCGAGATGCTTTAAAATAAGCGAGAGCGAGTAAGAGGGAGGCCTCACCTTCTAATTCGATTAAATTAAACAACTCGCGAGTTAATCAAATAAATGCACGGCGGCCGCAGGGCGGGGGAGGGCGGCCGGGGCGCCGGACCCGCTCGTCTATTTATGTCGGCACTTCTCGAAAGTAATTCGGTGTCAAATATGGAAATAACTCATACGGGCAAGGGCATCCATTTTGATAATGCCGACGGGCGACCGGAGCCGCTTTGATTTATGGAGAGTGTCGTGACCCCGCGTGTGCACGCGTCGCCGTCTGCGGGCGTTTTATTCGCAATCTGCACCGACTGACGCTCGCAGCTACCCGCAAAATAGTCATAGTGCAGGGGTGCATTTTAGTGGAAGAAACTGTTAGTTAAAATTCATAAGGGATGAAGTGAATTATTAGTATTGATTTGCTATTACAGACGAAAAGTTACAAAAAATCTATAACAACAAATATAGCGATATAAAGATAGTCTTCGCGATCTCCTTTTGAAAACGTTCTTAAATGACGTGATGTAACTCATTGTAACGGTACGAAGACTGAAGGCTTTCACATCATTAGAATAATTGAAATTTTACACCCTATCACCCCCTATTTACCCCTACCGTTAAATCGAAAACTGAGGTCCAAGGTGAGTAAGTAATTAAATTAATGAATCCGTTAGAAGAGGCTCTTGAACACCTTAAGTCGGGTAGATTCGCGTTAATTTATTAATTGCCCACTCCGCTCGACGGGTGGGCTATAAACAACGGATCTCTCTTAATTTACGAGGAAATTATGCTTTACTTAAATATCAATTTAATTAAGTGCCGTTCGAAAACGGATCCCGGTGGATTTGTGCGCGATGCACTGCTCGTTTGTCTTTTATCTATCGACTTGGATCAATTGAATCCGGTTATATTTCAAAGCGATATCTTTTATTTTAATTTATTAGATCGGAATCGTGAGGGCAAATGTAGTGGTTATTACAAACATATTTATTTCTGTATTCCATTCACCATGATTTTAGCCGCCCTGCAATGCACATATATTGCTTTTATTGCAATGTATTATCAGATTGTTTAATCTATAAATGACTAGTTGTTTCTTTTTTAATTTCTGAAACATTATCGTTCCATAACTTCTTATTGATAGGATTTCGAAAAAAAACTGGCATTAGATTGGTGTTGCCCGCCCCAAACGGTCTTAAGTCAAACATTGTAAACTTAAGTAAAACATTGATTTTATTGAAGTATAGTCCAATATATTGAATAAGATAAGATTTGTTTTGAATTTGCTTAACATAAATTTTGTATCGTATCTTAAAACCGAATAGCAAAATGTATGCTAACTTTTGCTGCAACGTAAGATGTTAACGATAAGTAACATCTGGTCAAACTATAGATAAACTTTCCGTCGGCTGCTTACAGATAATATAATATCTATTTAATTGTGACAACGTTATTACATTAATACACATTACGTTAATACACATAACACTCGCTATTATTACATAATATCAAGGACCTAATATTATTATTGTAAAGTCAGACTGACATCTCGTCTTGTTGTGCTACATAAATATCTTATTGTGAGAGATGGTCAGGGCAATTTGAGTTAAGTTGACCGACTTTATCACGAGTTTGGACAGAATCTACGATGTCCACTGTTTTATAGCAGCTTATACCCACGATGTATATAGTAGAGAATTTGTTTTTTGCATGAATAATATTTTAACCAAACTAAGCAAAGCTTGTACTATGGTATCTAGGTAATTGATAAACGTACTTTGTTTTTGTAAATAAAAAAATGTTACATGAGTACGTTCTACGTACTACGTTCAACACACGGTGTTTCCAGTAGTGGCGAACGACCGCTCACGCGGTTCATCATCTTAAATTTCGGTGGTTCCTCGCAGGTCTCCTCGTGGGAGGTGGTGGGACCCCGTTGGAGCCGTGCCGCGTTGCGCCGTACGTTTCGGTGCCAAGAATGGCTGGCGTGCCGAGGCCTCAGCCGCCACCAATCCCCCTCACCCCGCACCCGCCGCCCTCAGCCGCCTTCGCACCCTTCGACTCCGCAATCCTCTCCGCTGCCGCCCATCAGGTATGTCGGCGAAATCCGGTGAGCTAGGGATGCTGTCGAGGAATGTAGAACTTGAGTTTATTAAACGATATGAGTAATTTTTGATACACAAATTTATTGAATTATGTACCTCGGAGCTTTCTCGGTTTGTGATCACTAATTTCTATACGTAGGTATAAGTACAGTATAATTTCTCCAGACCCTATCCGTTCCCAAAAACTTTTCAAAACGTGTACTAATGGCAACTTTGCTAAAGCTTAATCCGAATCGAGACACTTTAAATATAGTTAAAACGTATCGTATACGACATAATAACCATAAATAACAGTTGCATGCCTCTCCGACTTATACCTGTCATTCAGACGGTAAAGCGATAACCTATTGATTCGTCCATATTGATGTTCTGGAACATTATGGAACACTTTTATTTAAATAAAATTTTGAATGGCAGTACGCGAGTGCTGCGGCCGCAGCGGCAGCGGCTCTGTGCCCGCCTTATGCTGGGCTCGCGGCGCTGGCTGCGCGTTGCCGCTCTTCCTCCATCGCCGACTTGCGGCTAAAGGCGCGTCGCCACGCCGCGGCACTGGCGGCAGCGAGCGCACCCTCACCGCCCGCATCCGCGCCCGCGCCCTCGCCCGCGGCCGCCTCTGCTCCCGCTGACACATAGCGCGAGCACGAGTTTTTTGCAGTGTACGGAACCTACACGTTTGTATAGGAAGTGATAGCATAGGCAAATTGGGGTTTGCCCAAGACATCGCCTAAGTTGGCAATATTTTTTTGTTGTGTAGACGTTAAAAATGGCTTTAAAATGAGTCCGTAGGAAACCTGGAATTAATCTAAAAGATTTTTTTTGTATTTTTATTCGACATGAACTCAGCAAAGTTTATTTTAAGTAGGTATTCAAATTCATAATTTTTTTTGGATAAACATTAAATGCGGACACATGATGAATAAATTTATTTATAATTATAGTGATAAACACCTATGTGGCAAAAATATAGGTACTTATACGAACAAAAAGAACATTTAAAAATATGGTTAAAAACGTGTAAAAATTCGACCAATGCATAAAATAATTTGTGAAGTGTATAAGTAAATTGAAAAACTGTGATAAGTGTGAGAATATCGGAAGAATAAAGATGATCTCGATGAAACATAAGTAGATACTACTATTGTATTAACGATAAGTTTAATTAACTTATAACTGTTTAATTTATAAGTATTAGCTACATACTGTGATGTAAATATTTATTATTTGGTAAAAAGCACGTGTTTAATACACACTTTACAAATCACGAAATTCGCTCTGTTCATAGCTGTGTAACTATGTTGTAATTATAAGGATTTATTTCTCTTTCCTTTTCTCTTATTTCATTGTCAACCTAACATTTATATAGCCTTTGATTATATACTGAGATATATATGTATAGATGACACATTTAACCATGCCAAACAGCGAATATAAAGTCTACTAAAATTGGTAGACTCGCTTCTCACCTATGTTAGTGTCATTTGAATCACTTTAGATAACGTGCTCACAAAAAATAATTAATTATGCCGGTTTGTGCTGTCAAATTGTGTTGCAATTACATGGGAAATCCGTATAATAACACCAAGATCACTTTTCATTGGTAAGTTTTGTTATAAATATTATTCAAAAAAAACACGATTTTTTTAATTCTATATTTCGTAGGTTAGTCTGGTTAGCCGATGTAGCCAGTTTATTACTATGAACTTTTGGGGAAACTATGGGAGACAAAATACAAATATCATTACGTCACCTTTGGATCAGAACATTATTATTTTAAAAATTACATTATTTATTTGATCCGTAAATAATAACCTGCATATCTTTACATGCAAATAGTATAAAACAAAATTTCCCCCGCTGTTTGTACGCTTAGAACATTTAAACTACGTAACGGATTTTAAATGCGGCTTTCAGCAATAGAGTGATCCAAGCCAAGAAATTCAAAGACTTGTAAAGTGATGTCGCACAAACGCTGGCTTACGCCCGTTTTCTGAAACACTTATCATCGTAGAAATTAACTAATCAGCTGTCTAATGGATTTTCAAATGTTATTTGAGTTGCCAAAAGGATTGTTAAACTCTCTGAATTGATCAGAAAGACATTCTTAATGATCAGAATGATCAATTCAAAATGACTTCTACGATGATTAGTGTTTTATAAATTAGATTTTTGTAAACATATAAATACATATTAGTAGTTACCTCCGTTTACCCAGGCAAAAAACCAAAGAGAAAATTATTCCGACAACAAACACAAAGGGATGGGTTTTTACCCAGGCAAAAAACCAAAGAGAAAATTATTCCGACAACAAACACAAAGGGATGGGTTTCGACCTTTAAATTACAATTTTTTTCATTATATTATTTGTTTTTACTAAAATAAATAAAACTACTTATCTACAAATAAACAAAAAATAGGTACAATGGTCACTTTTTGAAACTATTTTATTTAACGTTATTAAATAAAGAAGAAAACGTAAGTTACTAATTTGGAGCAGGCATCCTTAAAATCGCACACCTTAACAGTTTGTTTACAATAAGTACACGAGCGGTACTCATACCCATACCTGTCACGGTATTGGAGATAGTTTGAGCGCGTCGTTTGTTAGCTTTGTTTCATCTAGACAAGTATCTAATCAAAGGATAAAACATCCGTCATATCAGTATTCATCATCATGTAATCAATTATTTTAATGATAATTTGAATATTTGTACATACATATAGCTAATATTTAAGATATACATAATTTATCTTTATCACTTCGTGTACAATGTTAACCAAACTCGAAAAAACACATTATTAATTATTATCATTCTGTTTTTGTTTACCCTTTTCTTTTCTATTATTAGAATTACTAGCGACTGTATTACTAACGAATCAAACGAAAAAACTTCCTCTTGCATCACTCTATCTATTAAAAAAACTACATCATGATCCCTTACGTAGTTTTAATGATCTAAGCATACATAGAGACAGACAGACAGCTGGATGACTTTGTTTTATACTATGTAGTAATGATGTCATTTGTCATGATCATTTTTTTTTATAGTCTGATAATGTGATATGATCGTTACGGTTACGTCTACTCATAACTACCATTGATCTTAGAACTTAGTCTACTACCATGTCAAAATGGCAAAAATGTCAGAATGACCACAATACTGGTCGTCATAACGCCTTACGCGTGGTCATAATGACGTCATAATGATAAACTCCAGTAACACTAAGATAATCGCGTCGAGAGACACGCACTCGTAAATCACGCGGCAATCGGGTCGGCGCGCGGCGAGATTGTTTCTACATTTGCAGGCCTGATTGATGGCCCCCGCCCGCCGGGGCTGTTGCATTGTTAATAATGAAATCGTGTACGCTAACACGCCGCTAAATATACAATAAGGGTAGCCTTTGATGTATTATGCCGGGCGACGCTTGTCTGTTCGTGTCTGGATATCGGTGAATTGTATTAAATATTTGTTTTTAACTTCAGAAGATAGTTCCTCTGAAAAAATGATAATATTACCCATGTAATATTATACGACACTTCAGTAATTTATTTTCGACGTGCTAAAGAAATACATAAGAATACCATCATGGAATCATTACAAAAGGTTCAAAAATTTTCAAGAGAAGTGACACAGAAAAATGACATCCTCTATGTAACATCTTATCCTTTAAACGAGCAATTCTTGTTTCACATGAAATTTTGTATGTGCGTAGATTCGGGGGCGAAAAATCGATCTAGCTAGGTTTCATTTTTAGAAAATGTCCTTTTATCCCTGTTTTCAGGAAATGAAAAATATCATTCGAATATGATAGTAAATTTTGCCGCAAAAAAAATGTTATAATAGCTCGGTCGGTAATCGTGCGGCCCCGAAACAGACGGCCGCGGTTCGTATCACGATCATTTACATACTTATTTTTTTACTTTTTTTTCTATACCAGACCATTTTCTTTATTTTTTTCCAAAATACATGATTTACCAAAAAAAAAAAAAAAACGAGCAAAGCTCGGTCCTCCAGGTTCTTTATATCAACTTGGCTACTTTACGACTAAATAAATTCAGGGAAATCTTTTAATACATAGGTACTTTGCAACTCATGCAGTGTACGGCGAAGAATAAACTGAATTACATATTTTGCGACTAAACAAAGCACCATTCTAAACGGCAACAACGGGCCCACACGGTTGCGCCGTGCAGCGTTGTTTGTGCATCTCCTTATGCAAATGTTGTATCCGAACGCTATCGGGGCCGTAGGGCGCGTAGACATCGGAGTCCGGGCTGCACGTGTTTGCGCAAGCTGTTAAAAAAGCGCCCGCCCCCGCGTAGGGTGCGCCCAATTAGGGCGGCGACGGAGCTGATTGGGCGTAATCGTGTTAGCATCGGCGACAAACACCCCGCTCGCCGCGCGGCGTCTCGACAAACAAACACACATTAACGTGCAACGACCGTACTGCTCGAATGACTGCACTACGAAGAGCTTTGCTTATAATATATCTTAACTTTGACTGATGTTTTCCTTTCAGTCCGTAGACTATCCACCCTAACCACAGTTAGCCCTGGATTTCGTACTGCATCCCGCTTTGTCAGCTTATACTAAAAAATGTTTTTCAATTATAAAATTTGTGACTTTTATTATTTGCTAAACAAGACTTCTATCACATACAGTTGATGTTTCAATTTAGTTTATTACTTTTTTAATTAAGGCTCCCCACTTATCAGTTTTGAAACTATTACATAATAAGTTAAATACGCGTTAAAATATGTGCGTGTTTCTTTTTTAATACGAAATTTAAAATCCAAAAAATGTGGCTTTAGCAAATTCACTTTGTAAATATATTTTAAAAGTTATCTCTAACCACAAAAATTACAAATCAACGATGTTTTAGTAGTTAATTTGGTATTGTTTGTAATATCTATTATCTAACATCCGTAAAAAGTTGACTTCGGACATGATTATTTTTTTCAGCTCACTTGTAATAACGGCTTATATTCCAACCGTGTATTTTTAATGTAAGTTATTATTATCAAAGTTTCAAAACCTCAGCAGTATTAGCATCAGCGGTTACAATTAGCCCCATTGTTTTCTATAACAACGTCTTCATGTTTTCTGTTAGCAAGTATAATCATTAGCTAATTGCGAGATGTCAAAGAATATTTTATCAATCAATTTCGAGATTTAGTACAGTACAGACGTGAACAATGCATTTACTATTTGATTTCTTGATCAGTTTGGCGGTATACCAACATTGCTTGGCGCAAGGTCTGGACAACAGAAATACATTTCTTTATTTCGCTTACGGTAGCAACATGCTTGAAAAGAGGATCCACTTAAGAAACCCCACTGCGGTTTTCTACTCGCCTGCCATTCTAAAGGTATGTTAATTGAGATTCGTACGAAAAGGATTAAACAATGAAAAGGCCTTAACAAAAATCAGTTCGAATAAAAAAAATTCGTTGACTCTTTTGTTTACCTAATATCATAATAATCCAGTCATATTTAATACAAATAATATTGTTTCCCTATCCATGTTATGCAAACTTTTAAGTATTTAACTAGGTGCTTAAATCTACTTTGCCTTTCTATAGGGCCGCGCCAGTACAATCTAATGGAATTCGAACCCTCCTACAAGCGTGCCTTAAGGATTTGGTCGACTAACCTTCGCAGTCGCTAGGCAACAGCCGCCTTTTTCGACAAACGATATAATTATTTTTTGTTGAAAGGAAACCAATAGTTTATCTTTAAAAGTTTTTATAGGATTAATATTTATTTTTAGTAACAGTCTCTGTACTCAAGATGAAACAAGGCGACAGCTCTCCTTACAATGATCATCGCTAAATGTAATTTGTAAGATATTTCATACTATTAAGCAGATAAGATGGCGCAACGCATTGATAAAAATGCATTATAAATGTATTATATATTAATACGTCGAGATTTTCGCGTCGTGAGGTCACCGGCACATTACCAGGAAGACGCAGATTCGATTCCCGTAGCTCTGAAAGTTTTCGTTCACTTGCCTATAAGAAAAATTACATTTTCTTTTCTTTTGACCTATTGTCCTTTAAGAGAGAGCTCTAAGCGTTTAACATGATATTTTATATATCACAGGGTTACAGATTAGATTTCAACTTATACGTGCCGTCGTGGCGCGGAGCAACCGCCACCATCGTTAAAGACTTAGGCAGCACTGTTTGGGGTGCTTTGTGGATTATTCATAACAGTCACATGCATCGATTGGACGAGTAAGTATTATTGAGCGTGTATGTTTAAAGAAACCACCACCAAAACAATTATACAGCGTGTCGTTACAACCGCGACAATAAATAAACACACGTCTAACGCCACTTGCCAATAATCATAAAAATATAAAACGTTAAAAATATTCATAATTAACAAAATATATTTTTCAAACAAACTAATTAAATAAAAAAGAAACAAAATTTGTAACATACTATACAACTACAACTGGCTGATTCATACATTCAGAGACTTTTTCATTCGTCGCCAAAACGTCGCTTTACAAGTCTCTCCTTCTAACAGTATGTTTCATCTCTTTTAAATTCATTCAACCCGTTCATATGCTTTGTACCCTTTACAAATAAACTTTACGTTACCGTTTTATACGTAAAGTTGTTCTAAAAATGTTTGTTTTGTAAAATTTAATAACTCGGTAAATGTTGATGTTTAAAGAATGTAAATGCTTAACACAATTTTGAAAGTTATCCTCTATATGTGTCTTCATTTATTGTCGAGGTTGTAACGACACGCTGTATACATAAATATAACGGAAACTGTATTTTCTGAAGAATTAAAAGTATTTCATTATAGCTCGGTCGTAATCTGTCATTGTTGGTAAAGCAAATAATGATGTAATAACAAATATGTATAATATTCTGGTTTAAATATTATCTGAATAAATAATATGATAGAGGTCTACCGCTGTATTTAAAAGCACCTATTGTGATATCTTTATTTAATGCGAAGTTGTTAAAGTTTGAAAAAATGACGATATTTATGAGTATTATGTGTTCAGTAATGTGTTTTCTTGCCGTGGGGAAATGGGGCAAGCGAGGTAGTTGTTAATAAAATAAGCAATGCCGACGATGTCGTGGGTATCAGCTGGTGTTCAATATATCAAAAATTTTAAGAGGATAGTGATTTCTCACTTGTGAGAATTTTGACAGTTTTCTCACCAAATATGGCCAGGATGAAGTGCCCTCTGAAACTAATTCTCGTTACGCTTAATTACTTCCATTTTAGACAAGAAGGTGTACATCTAAATTGGTGTGTTCCAATTAATGTCACCGTAACAACCCCTCAAGGACGCGATTTTAGGGCACGAACATATAAGGAAACTATTACTCTTCCAAAGTTGAACAAAGGAGAAATTCTACCACCTTCGAGAAGGCCATCGAACACCTATCTTCAGGCGAGTTTTTCACCTAACTTTTCACATAAAAAAATTATAGACGACACAATAATTATCACGACTTACCTTTTCATCAACATTGAAAACGAAGTGAGAAGAAAATAATTCATTTGATTACAAGACATATTCGAATAAATAATTTTCTTCGTTTTTATTTAAACAGATGTTTTACTCCACAGGTTACGATTTTAGGAGCATATGAAGCAGGTCTTCCACCGCAATATATTGGATACCTTCATAAATTTCCTACGAATGGGAGAAATGCTGATGTGCACATACGAAATAAACTTGGTTATCCATTTAACGCGGCGTTGTAAACACTTTGTTGAGCAGAAGCTCGTTGATGTTTTAATTAGGAAAATTTAAATGCATTTTTATAGAAATAGAATAGCTAGCTTTTATAGAATCATGCGTTTAGATATTGTATTTTTTTTAATTAAATACTATTGATTTTTTTACAATTTTAATAACTTTACATTTGTATCACATTTAATCTATCCACTAATGAAAATAATACACCGATCGTACATAACGTTATCAATAATTTCCCTTGACAGTGTATTAATAAACCGGCAAAGTACAACACGAACTCGCGCACGAATGGTTCTGTACCATCCATTTATCTTTAAAAACGGCAAAAAACATCATTTCAATTGTATGGGAGCCCCACTTAAATATTTTTTATTCAAATGATTAGTATCTTATCCGTTAAAAGAGCAATTGTTGTACATATATACAGCGTGTCGGTATCATCGCGACAATAAATGAACACACGTCTTACGCTACATAATAATCATAAAAAATATTAACGTTAAAAAATCCATAATTAAAAAAAATATTTTTCAAACAAACTAATTAAGTATAAAAGAAACAAAATTTGTAACATCCTATATAATTGATTCATACATTCAGAGACTTTTCATTCGTTGCCACAGCGTCACATTCGTCGTTTTGTCTCTTTTAAATTCATTCAACCCATTCATATGCTTTGTGCCCTTGACAAATGAACTTTATGTTACAGTTTTATACGTAAGGCTGTTCTAAAATTCTTTGTTTTGGAAAATTTAATAACTCTGTAAATATTGATGTTTAAAGAATGTAAATATTTAATACAATTTTAAAAAATTATCCTCTATATGTGTGTTCATTTACTGTCGCGATTGTAAAGAAACGCTGTATAATCGGAATCTCGGAAACGGCTCTAGCGATTTTCATGAAATTTAGTATGTGCGTAGATTCGGGGGCGAAAAATCGACCTAGCTAGGTTTCATTTTTAGAAAATATCCTTTTATCCTTGTTTTCAAGGAATGAAAAACATCATTCGAATATGACGAAAAATTTTCGCCGCAAAAAAAAATGTTATAAAGCTCGGTATGTAATCGGGCGGCCCCAAAACAGACGGACGCGGTTCGTATCACGATCATTTACACGTTTATTTTTTTACTTTTTTTTCGATTCCAGATCATTGCTTTATTTATTTTTTATTTTTTGTCGATTTGTTATTTTGTTATTTTTTTCCCTTTTTTTTAAAGATCTTTCTTTTGTGAAAATACCAGTTCATATTTTCTTATTATTACGTCGGTAAGATCGAAAAATCTTATGCATATTTCATTACTCTAAATGTAATTTCCAGAATCTTGGTCCTCCAGGTACTTTGTTATTATAGCGGCAACAGAAATAGGTGATCTGTGAAAATTTCGTCTGTCTATCTATCACGGTTCATGAGATACAGCCTGGTGACAAACGGACAGACAGACAGCGGAGTATTTGTAATAGGATAGGTCCTTCTTGGCTTTGCCGTGGGTGACCAAGTCAGGGCTACTAAACCCCTCCGCCACAAGGCCGGATTACCGGTCAAAGGGGATGTACAGTGCCCTATTCTAACCCAGGTTGTAGACAGCCTAAGGCTGCAATAAGAACGTGTGTTTATATGGGTCATGGCTGCGTTGCCCTAAAATAGTACACGTACAACATAATATGACATAACACTAATAGGTTATTAGTTCAAAAACGTGTTAATTCTTGATAAAGTTTCCAAAATATTGCCAATATGTGTGTTTCTTCACAATATTACCAAGACTACCAATAACAATCTTTAGACATTTACTGATTCCAAGTTATTTAATTAAATTGCCATCAATGGCATTTAATGCAATAACATTTTATGCAACGTCCTCATCTTTAATTAACCTTAGGCAGGGCGGCGAATAAGATGCGATGTCAAAAATTTATTTGACAAAAATGCTGTCGTATGTCTTATAAACATGTACCAGGTGGTAGAGGAGGAGCCACTCTCACTGTCGTCTGCTACCCAGGACCGTATCCGTCTAGGGGCGTCTGATTTGTCAACTACACCAATGCCCCTGTGGTGTCAATGTAGACAAATTAGGTCTCCACGGGCTTTCTTGTCAAAAAAGTTCTGGCCGCTTTTCTCGCCACAGTTCACGTAACTCTTATTTCCATCAATGTTCCATCTATTTTAGAGCCCTGTGGCGTTTTTCGTGACGCTGGTAAGAGACCGGACGGTTTGACTTTGGGAGAGAGGCAAAACCCTTGTTTAAGATGTTGCATGTGTAGACATTTTAGCTGCCCCTCATCTAAGGGATACTTCAGTCAGGGTCGGGGCGGCATCGGAGGCAGCTGAAGTAAGTAAACGGCGCAAATTTGAATCTCTATGTTTAGATTATGTATTTTTGCCATTTACTGTTGAAACTTTTGGTCCGTGGGGTCCCCACACATCGAAATTTTTTAAAGGTTTATGTCCTAGCCTTAACGCCGCGGCTTAGCATAACTAGGTTTAGCATAATTATTCAGCAAGGAAATGCAGCTAGCGTTCTTGTCTCCATGCCGTGTGTATTTTAGATTGTAGTGTGTTTAGTAATTTTAGATAGGTTTCATGTTGTAATTACTGGATAATTAAATTTTTTGTAATTTATTAAACAAGCATTTTTAGCATATTCAAGACAAGGTCTAGTATTTTTTCTATATACAAAACGGCAACACTGATGGCATTGTCAATTGTCAAATCAAAACGAGATTCAAGATCAAGATTATGAATTTACATTTATTATACGTCATAATCATATTTATATGGCAGGAGACATCTATTTAACATTAATAATTATTAATGTATTTAGTGTTTTTCTCACATTAAATTATTCAAAATAATATGAAACTAAAATATATAATTAATTAATATTAAAAAAAATGGAAAGTTACCATTAGTAATATGTATACTTAAATTGCGAACTATAGACATTTTAAACCATGAAATAATGTTAAAAATGAATAATTTTAAAGATAAGAATTAACCATTTATTTAATACGATGCAAGTACCATGAAACGCTTTCTGTTTACACTCATATTATGTCATTGAACTATGCCTTTGGTTTTTCATTGTTTCTTCTACTACTAGTAGCACTTAATATATACTTTTTTTACACTCTCAACACCTTAGGCAAAAAACCATCCCCTTATATGGTTCCCAATATTAAATTCGATTTAGGTCCTAGTGTCTTAAAAGACATTTATACTTATCTTAACTATTTACCCGCACAGTACAAAACAAAAAATTCTAATTTTTTGAAAAACCAGAAAAATCTTGTAAGCTTATTTAATTCAAGTACCATTTTAAGTTCAAAAGATGTATGGTTTGAAACGGAAAATGTAAGTATCAATTTTTATTAAAAAATACAAATTTAATATTTCATGATAAGGATTTTCAAAATGAGGTGCACATTTAATTTAATTTAATTTATCATATGGTATATTCCATTTTTCAGATTTTTATCTTGAAAAAGTTACAAAGTACCTTATGATTGCATAAAATTTCTCAATGAAATTATTTAGGGTTAATGATTTCACAAAATAATGCAAAAACATTAACATTTAACATGACCACTTAAATCAATTAAATAGGTGTGGTGCCTAGTCAGCCAATGCAACTAAAGTAAACTAATTGAATTAAATTTTTGAAAAAAATATTTAGTTATAATTTTATGGCCTTCAATATTTTTTGTAAATTATGTTTACATATTTTTATATTTCTGCGTTTAAATAAGTACCCATTGATTTAATTTCAGTGGGTCAGTGATGAATCATTATTTCCTCATAAAAATGGAGCACCTGGGCAAATCTTGCATGCAATTCAAAACTCACAAATAGCACTTGTTGATAATGCACCAAAAGGAACACAGCTGAAACTTTTACTGTTGCTCGAGGTATTATTTCATTTATGTTTTAAGCTATTAGTTGTGGTAATAAATATTTTATTATTATAGTGGTATATTTATTTGTTTTCTTGTCTGGTTGGGTTTATAAATAGAAATATATATATATATATATATATGAATTTATTGTCATGGTTGTAATGACATGCTGTATATAGTTATATGTATGTTGCATATATAAAACAAATAATATAAATAAAAATAAACATATAGATATAAATTTATATATAATACATACATAAATGGGACCCAACCGGACGGAAACCTTCGGCAGGGGAGACCAAACGGCCGAGAGGGTTATTATTATTATTGTTAATTATTTATGATCTAACTCTTAAATTAAAATGGGGATGTTAGTAGTATGGCACACCGCTAAATTAAAAAAATTGACATGAAGATTTATAAATCATGAAGACGTTTAATTTGTCAATATATATACAAAATTATTAAATTTTAATTTTAAAACTTATTGAAGTGCCTAAATACATATAATTGAAATAACCATATGTTAATGTTTATATGAATTCTATTCTGCTCTTGGTTTGTTTTTATGTACAAACAAAGTGCTATTAATCAATATAATATTAATGACATTGAAATACTTCTCAATTTTATTCATAGGTCTATTATTATTCATAGGTTTGCATTATTTAATGTGAATAAATAACAATATTTTTGATTAAAGGGTAAACAAAAACTTTACTTCAAACCAAAGAGATACAGTTTAGATGAAGTCATAAGGGGCAATATATATGCTGGTTTTGATAGGCATAACTCAGAAGTCTTTGCTTACTATTTAGCCATGGTGCTAAACTTTAAATGGATTGCTCCTTCTGTTATTAGAAAGATTCCCATTGATAAAGACATTGTACCAAAAGCAACATTGGGGCTCAAGAAAACTATGGTGAAAAATGGTAATCTCCTTATAATCTATATTAAAAACGTGTAATGCCTGATAGTGTGTATAATTTCATCAAGTTGGTATTTCCTTGATTCGTTTATAAGATGTTTTGTATACTGTGCTATATTTTCTATTCTTTTTCTTTATTTACGTTATTATATTTGATGATTTTTATAGTGATCACTACACATGGATACTTTCTAGTCATAGCAGTTGCAGATTCATGATGCTGCCCTTTGATGATTTAAAATATATCAATTACATTTGTATCTTTGCTTTAAATCAATATAAATATTTTGTTTAAAGTTGCTAATTTAAAGAGCTTGATATTTTTTTAACACCATAAAATATATTTTTTTTATGTGAAAAGTGGCAAACGAGCTGGCGGATCACCTGATGTTAAGTAATAACTGCCGCCCATAAACATTAGCAACACGCATTGTAAATGCGTCGCCACCTTTAAATAAAGTAGGCACCGGCTACCTCACTCACCAGACGAAACCCAGAAGTGTAACACTTCTACTTTACACAGGTCTTCTGTGAGGTTGTGGTAACTGGACTACCTGGACGGACCTGCCCATTCATGCAACAGTGACAACTACTGCATGGCCCTACCACCCTAATAATATTTACATATATTTTGATTTAAACATGTTACCTATCCCAAATAGTAAATAGATTTAAAAATACTTTCCAAAACAAAGTACACTTTACAGAAGTAATTATATTTTTATTTAGTATGCAAAGTAGGGATTCTGATCTATGTTTTATTTAATTAAAATTTTAGGTAATGGTGAGGTTTGTATATTTGGAAAATGTTTTTACTGCAAAAGAAATGAAACTGTGTGTCCCGACAAAAATGGCGAAATTGAAGGAGCTGCAATATTATACTTGGACAAACAATTCAAAGTTCACAAGTCGCCTTGGCGTCGCTCATATACTGCAAAGAAAATGGAATGGGAAAGAGATAATGACTTTTGTAAGTAAGTATTATCGGCGACTAAATAAAACATTAAAAAAAACGGTTAATGCTTTTTTCCGCTTTTGGTAGTTTCTTTAGCAAACTTACATTTAAATAAGAAGAATATGTTTCTGCCTTCCTTTCCAGAGGAGCTTATTTCGTGACGTTATATTACCAGTTATAGCTTGCCTGTATGTGTATATTATGTTCATTGTATTAATTTATTAATCATGTTTTGCAATAATTTCCATAATCGTTTTATTTTTGTTTATCCTCCAAATTCATGAGAAGCTAAATTATTGTATAACTGCATAATTATTACCCCAAATGCAAATGTTAAAATTAATTCTTTAAATATGCTTAAAATATTTTTAACCCAAATACTTATGTGTACATATATTATCATGTAATTTATCACCTCATACAAATATGTATGGTTAAATTTATCATGAAGAGTTGAGGTCTACAACATTCTGAACCTTTAATTACAATTAACAATTAATTCCACTTTACTACTTTCACTTTACTACTTTCTGCTTACAATTAGTGCCATCCCAAAATATACTATACTTTCTTGCAGTTACCTAACATAGTTCCATCTATACCAAATAGAAGACATATGGATGGATTGAGATGCTGAATGACCTTACTCATACCATGACTGAATTTGTCTTCAGCACATGTTCAAGTAGTTATTTTATAATTTATGAAATTTACATAATAAGTGTAATTTCACGAACACATATTAGTATTGGCAGGTAATTAAGTTAAAATTGGAGGCAATTTGTTATAACGCATTTATTATAAGCTTTATAAACTTAAAAATATTGTTTGTTGTAATATCCTTTCCTATCATGTGTCTAATATAACTTGGATAATTTGGCATTGCTTCAGTGGCTCTCATTTATTCTTAGTGAATAATATTCTGTACAACACTATATAAAAATTCTGAATCAATTTATTTGTATAATTATGTTCATGTATATTATATTTTCAGAAAAGTCAGTGGATCCCTCAGTATGAGGAGGATTCTTAATCTGATAGATGTCGCCATTTTCGATTTCTTAATACAAAATGGAGATAGACATCGATATGAAGTCTATAAAGACCAGATATTATTATTAGATAATGGAAAAGGTTTGGGAAATCCCACGGTGGATGAGTTGGATATTTTGGCGCCTCTTTACCAATGTTGCATGTAAGAATATAATATGACTAATTTCTCTTGTGTAATAGAAAAATATAATTTGGGGAAACACTAATAATTTTAATATTTATAATTAATTTAGCCAATTTTCTGTTTAATCTTGAAGGAATGTTGTGAACTCTTTTATATAACTACTGTTGGCTAATCAACTCACATTATTATACTTGAAAAATAAGGAAAAAGCGCCCCAAATTACAGAAATGTCGTCTTGCCAGATCTACAAAATTAACAAAAAAGAAGTTTATCTTACTTTTTCAATGACAATCGATTTATAAATTAAAGGCAACCATAGAATATATAATACATTAATTGAAAAGCATGTACTATTACATGCTTTAAAAGTGGAACAACAAAAAAAACTAAAACATGGTAATGAAAATGCCATAAAATTAATAACTCCTTATAATAATATCTCACCTAAAATCTTTTTACATTTTTTCCTCCTTGTGTCTTGATAAGCCCATTTTTGAGTCATATTTACTATATATGTTCTAAAACGTTCATTTGCCAAATATTAAAACACGTTTTTAACCTTTTTTTTATATTGCGTTATATCGCATAAATCACAGTTACCTTACGAACCCATGGTCCCTTTTACCTTAAACCCATTTCTTACTTAATCAACCTACTCAAGTGAGTCTTTTTTTTTAAAGATTGTCTTCGTCTACTTGGAAAAATTTAGAAATGGTTTCTGGTGGAAGTTTATCGGAGACAATAAAACTTTTGTCTGAATACCAAGGACATAAGTTGGCATCAGAAGAACATTTCAAAGCAGTTGATCGGCGTCTTATGAAAATTTATGCTACAGTTCAATATTGCATAGGAAAGCATGGCAGTTCAAAGGTGTTCAAGAATTTATAGAGCGATGGCGTTTAGTTGGTACAACCCCAATAGAATATTTTATTATTGTTGTATTAAAATTGTCGTGAAACTGTTCAGTTTTATTTTATCGGATATACTTATTAAAATAAAAGTTTTCCTTTAGTAATTCCAGAACTTTGGCGCACTCATATTGGCCCACTAAAGGTTATTTAAAGCAGCCATTTATTTTGAGTAAAATACAATATTAAACAAAAACAATTCAAAGAAATCGCAAAATACATAAATGTACAAATCTTATCTCATTTTCCTTTAAACGATATTATATTATATATATAATCGGAATCTCGGAAACGGCTCCAGCGATTCTCATGAAATTTAATATGTGCGTAGATTCGGGGAATAAAAAATCGATCTAGCTAGGTTTCATTTTCAGAAAATGTCCTTTTATCCCTGTTTTCAGGGAATGAAAAATATCATTCGAATATGACAGTAAATTTCGCCGCAAAATAAAATGTTATAATAGCTCGGTCGGTAATTGGGCGGCCCCAAAATAGAAGGCCGCGGTTCGTATCACGATCATTTACACATTTATTTTTTTACTTTTTTTCTATACCAGATCATTGTTTTCTTTATCTTTTGTTTTTTGTTGATTTGTTATTTTGTTATTTTTTTCCCTTTTTTTTAAAGTTCTTTATTTTGTGACAAACACCAGTTCATATTTTCTTATTATTACGTCGGTAAGATCGAAACATAACATGCATATTTCATTAGTTAGTGATTTAATTATTTAATATTAATTAAAATGTAATTTCCAAAATACACGATTTACCAAAAAAAAATACCTCGGTCCTCCAGTTACTGTATTTTAGATTATAAATCATGTTTCATCTTATAAAAATAAGACATCCTCTTATTATGCTAATCTCTGCACTTAAGATTAAAAAACAAAATTTAATTATAATTATATAATTTAGATTAGTATAATAAAAATAAATCTTAAAATCAATGGTGGCATCTCTCGTTCGAATTATCGTTGTAAAACGATATTCGAAATTGTTGCATGCTGGAAAGGACATAACATTGCTTCAAATGCTAAAAACAATGTAGATAAAAGACCATTTTGTCGGCGTCAGGCCGCGAATGCCGAAGACGTGGGTTCGATCCCACAGCGGCGATAATCTTTTCTTAGTACTTTTTCTACAAATTTTAACATCCTCTTATCTTAAAAAGTACGATTATAACATACATGTTAATAAATATGTTGCTTAAATGTGTACCAAGCTTCTCTTTTTTTATTGGGCGATGTCTTTTTTTGAAGTTTGATTTCGCTTATATTCAAAGAACAATCCAGTCGTAAGTAACAGCTACTTAAAAAGTAAAGTTAAGAACATCTTATAAATCACACAAATGCTGACCAGAGGCGTGATATGTACAGAGGGTATTAAGGTATAGTCTACCGCGCGGCTCCACGTTTTCCTTCACCGCTGAGCACGTGATGTCAGGACTTAAAATTAACAATTTCAAAAGTGCCGGCAACGGAGATCGAACTCAGTTTGCTTGAGTATTTTAAATTAAAATCGAGCGCACGGACAATGAGCTATCACAGCTCTAAGCTGCTATTAATTACGATTATTTCATAATTATGAGTTGGGAGGCGACCCCCAGCGTTGTATGATAGTAGATATGGATATTATACACTACGAAATATGGACTTGTAGTATAAATACCATAATTATATAGTACAAAATCCAACGCAACAATGCGCCGCAAGCCGCAAAGACAACAGTTTTTTTTTTTCGTTCATTTTTATCTTTTACGGCTTTGTAAATTGAATATACTAATATCGTTTTTGATATACAATTTTTTTATATGAAAATATATCAGCTAAAATATCGATAAAAAGAATAAAAAATATCTGTATATTATCAATATTTTTTCTCACAATCAAATCACAACTAGTGATGTGACGAGTTTGATTTCTTTATAATCGAGTTGATATGGCTGACTCGAGTCACAACTCGACTCGATGTCACCTGTAGGGAGAGAGGGGACTCGGCCGACTCGGGGAAGACGAGTCAGCTCGACTCGAGTCTGATAGATAGGTAATAATAATGATGTTGCAAGCAATATGGATTCACTAAAGGCAGATCGACAACAGATGCGGGCGTCGCACTTGTCAGGCATATTTATAACGCCTGGCAAAGGTCACAAGATGCAGGTGTGATTAGGTGTCTTTTGGACCTTTCAAAAGCCTTCGACTGCGTAGATCACAAAACCCACAAGGACCAATCTTGGGCCCATTATTATTTCTTGTATATATAAATGATCTCCCCTCTTATGCCAGCAATGTTTTGTGATGTTGTACTGTTTGCTGACGATATATCGCTCATCTTTAAGGTTGACCGAAATTTATCAAATTACGAAGACGTAAATGGTGCACTTTCGCATATCCTCCACTGATTCACCATAAATAATATAGTATTAAAAGCCGAAAAAAACTAAATGTATTCTTTTTACTCTTCGTAATGTAAGAAGGCAAAGTATTCATTTTATTTATAGTATTATATTTTATTATTAAATAACGTATCCCTCAATCCTATTACAGTAGATTCAGAGCTCCAGTGGAGTCCCCATCTATCATCTCTTTTTGCGAGTAGGCTAAGCTCCGCTGTTTTTGCGTTTAGGGTTAGGCAGCTAACAGACATCGACACTGCCAGACTTGTTTAATTTAGTTATTTTCTCAGCATCTTATCGTATGGCATTTTGTTGTGGGGTAGTGCCTCAGATATAAATTCTATATTTATTCTCCAAAAAAGAGCTGTCCGAGCAATCTATAACATCAGAGCCCGGAATTCTATCAGAGATCTTTTTAAAGAGATTAATATACTCACTGTTGCGTCCCAATATATTTCTTGTAATATTTTGCAAGTTAGACATAATCTTAATTCTTACCTAAAGAATAGAGACAGATATAAATTAAATACTAGAAATAAGAACAAATTAATTACGCCATTGTTTCGTCTACAAAAAGTAAGATCTATTTACTTCACATTTACACTATGTGTTCATGGGGCAAAGTGTGCGCATGTATAATAAAATCCCACAGTCGATATTAAGTCTGCCACTAGAACAATTTAAACGCAAAATCAAAAAGAAAGAAAAATTAATGGCTAAGGCATATTATACCATTGCGGAATATATTGACGACGCCAATGTGTGGCGTTAATACTGTTGAGACTCACGTAGGTTAAAATAAGACATACTTATTGTTTTATTATATTGTAAACTAATCGTTTAAAAAAAAGCAACTGTTGAGTTTCTTGCCGGTTTCTCTCAACAGAAATTGCTTTCCGAACCGGTGGTAACTTACGAACGTATTAATTTTTATGTAAAATTTTGACATTTCATAAGAACGCGCAAGCGTCTATGTAAGTAAAGTAAAGTAACAGCCTATACATGTCCCACTGCTGGGCAAAGGCCTCCTCTATACAGAGGGTAATGGGGCATAGTCCACCACGCGGCCCCACTGCAGGTTGGCTGACTTCACATATTTTCGAAATATATATATTTTTTGTTATTATTTCGAAAATATGCAGGTTTCCTCACGATGTTTTCCTTCACCGCGGAGCACGTGATAAATCAGCACATAAAGTTAAAAAAGTGAAGTAAAAGGGCCGTGATAACTCAGTGTCCGGGCGCTCGCCTTTAATTCAATATAATATAATTAAATATATAATAATATAATAAATATAATTTTGATTTTGTTGGATCGTGATGTGATGTGGCTACTCAAGTCGATTAGCAACTCAAAAATTTATTTAACTAATTAGCAATAATTCAAACAAAGAAAGTTTCTGTTTTTATTGCCGGAGACGATAAGCTAAATACTGTTGCCGCTGGCAACACTCTATACCGGATATGACGTTGCTACTCGAGCGAAGGGACACATGGTCGCATGGAGCAGCGGCCACTTGCTTTTCTGCTGCCTACCCGGACGGCAACATAATCAGTAGTGCTGATTATTGTTATGATAGTTGTTAATATTCAAGTTCAGAAATAGTTCAAATATTATAAGTAATCACGTTAGAACTCTTATATCAGAAGTGGGATACAGAAACTAGCGTGTCTTGGTACACCTGATATGAAGCATTTTTGACTGTTCAAACTGTCGGCGACATATTTTTTCTTTGATTGGCGGCGTCTGTGGCGGATTAAAACAACCGCCGAGTCTATTTTAAATATAGTGCGCAACTCGCGCTTTGCAACCGAGTCGCCTCTGATTGGTCGGCGACCGGGGAGTTCCCTCTGCCTCCATGCTTGCCGCTGGGAACACGGCGGTCAACTTATTATTCACGATAAGATTGTTCTAACGGTGAAAAGATTGTGAAATTATGTAAAAATCCTTCTGATCAATACAAATAACAGTGAGCACATTCCTGCGTTTTATTTAATGGCATTCCGCACATTTCATGCCATAGGTCGACCGAGTTGATTCGAGTTGCTTAAAACTGAACCAGAGTTGACTCGTTTACGGTTTGATTAGAGTTTCTCGAATCAAATAACTCGACACGCACATGACTAATCACAACAGCCTGTTAAGATGACGCAAATTCATTCACTAGTTTGTCACTAATTACTTGTGACAAACGTCACTGTCAGTGTCAGTCATATGATAAATGATAAATAAAGGTGGCTAATGTGTAATGTGTAGTGAACTGCAGTGGATAAAATTGTCTTGGTAGATAATTTCGCATTATTGTGAAAAGTAATGAAAAATGTCTGCTTGCGTTAAAGATACGTTTCTGTATTTTGCTTATGGAAGTAACTTATTAAAAAAGAGAATTCACATTAATAACTCATCAGCAACATTTATAGGCATTGGACGGCTCGATGTAAGTGTTCTGTTAATACGGAAAAAATAAAATTTTATCGGTTATGAATATAATTTTTAATCGCTAAACATTATATTGATACTACCTTCGTCCAGAGTATTTTTCATTCAAACAAAGTTTTTATACTTTTCCAATTTCATTTTGTACGGACATCTCGCTGTAATGGCTACAATATCTCGATGATTAAAAGAATTGAAAATAATTCATTATTAATAATTTATAATTATAATTAATTATTAATTAATATATTTTCAACTATATATTTATTTACTATCCAGGAACACCAACTTGATTTCATGAGATATTCTGACCATTGGAGAGGAGCTTCAGCTACTATTGTTCCATTAAAGGGACATCATATCTGGGGAGCTATTTGGAGATTACACAATAATGACCTCAAAACCTTAGATTGGTATTGCATTTTAATTATACTTTATAATTTATTTCTTTAATAAAATTCTTAATGTTTGAAACAGGTTGAAATTCCAAACTTATAAGTATCACACTAATTACAGGCAGGAAGGTGTAGAGACAAAATGGTATTTCCCAAAGACTGTCACCATTGCAACTCCTGATGGAACTCATTTGGAATGCCGCACATACCAACAGACCATAAATCCACCTCCTCGCGGAGACACTGAAGACATTCCATTTGACAGAAGACCTTCCATTACCTATTTAAACTGCATTCTGATTGGTGCAGCTGAGTGCAAACTACCAGAGTATTATATTGAAATATTAAAAAAAATTCCTCATAATGGGCAAAATGCGTCTCCAAAAATGATACAAAAATTGGAGTCATCTAGTTAAAATATTATTGTGAAATTAAAAGTATATTTTACCTGTAAATAATTCTACTTTTAAAATTGACACCTTTGACATTAAATTAAAGATTTATAAATCCTTTGATTTATACATATTTTATATCAAACTTCTTTGAGGTGAAATTTGACTTATAAAAATAATAAAGTGACATAACATGTTTTTGGCAATATTTATTATTCTTTACTGCTATTGTATTTTTTATTAATGAAGGCATGTTGTTCACACAAAATTCTAACAGTTTTTTGTTCTTTTCATATGGAAGTAATTTATTGAAATTTAGAATTAGCCTTTTGAATGTGAAAGCTGAATTTGTTTCAATTGCGCGTTTAGATGTAAGTTTTCTGATGTGTAAGCTTTATTATTGTAAAGTTTCATTAAAATCCATTCAGTAGTATTAGCGTGAAAGAGTAACAAACATCCATCCACACATACAAACTTTCCCCTTTATAATATTAGTAAAGATCGTTCCTTCTATATAGTTTTTTCTAAATTGTAGCTTCTACTTTTACACTTTATATTTAAAGAACTACAGACTGGACTTCATAAGATATTCTAAGTTTTGGGGTGGTCCACAAGCTACAGTAGTGCCAACAGCTAATGCCCATGTTTGGGGTGTTATTTGGCAAGTTGACTTAGACGACCAAATAATTCTAGACAAGCAAGTATATTTTATAGTTTGTCGTACATTTTTGTACTTTTGTAAATTTGCCTAAATACAAATTATATTTTTAACAGCCAAGAGGGTGTCGACATCAAATGGTATTACGTTAAATTTGTTGAAGTTAATACGCCGCACATGGGCGTGTTCACGTGTCGGACTTACATACAAAAAGTGAATCCTTTGCCCAGAGGCGACAATGACGATATTCCCGTTGAACGTTGGCCTTCACAATCTTATAAGCATGTAATTATTCGCGGTGCTATCGAGCACCATCTACCGGAATATTACATCGAAGGATTAAAGACATTGAAGGACAATGGCGAAGTGGGATATTTCAAATTGGCTTGTTTATTAAAAGCATTTTCACACAGTGTTCCATGCCAATGTAATTTACCAGTGACCGTTGCTCCAAAGATATTAAACTTGAGAAAGATCAGATATAAGAGCAAACGCAATAAGTAACATTTTATTATTTTTTTATTGTCATGAATTAAAAACTTTTGCAATTGAAAAATCAATTTTATTCTGAGATGTTCATAGACCTTGTTTCTAACTTGGTATAAAATATATATGTAAACAAAGGGTTCTTTATAGGATACATTGACATTCAAAACTATACTTCGCTTAATTTTTGTAACTTTTTATTAATATAAATATTAAAATTATTATTAATAGGTACTCGGTTCTCGTTAAATTAAATATAAAAATTATACACTATCTCAATCGTTTGGTGAAATTGTATCTAAATTGAGCATAAAGCACAACGCTACCCCGACACTATTACATAATCACTCACACAAATCACACGAGGAACACATCATTTGGAAATTATTTTATCAGTCAATAATTTACGAATAACATAATTACTAAGAATGAGGTAACGTAACTGCCTTACTATGTGGAAATCACAATAAATAGTAAATACTGATAAAGATAAGAGCGTAAGCAACGAAACTTTTTCATTAGTAAACCCCGCACGGAACGCCGTGTGGAGGCAACGTTGTGCGTGACCAGCTGCCGCCGAGCTGCACTGTTTCAGCGAGGCGTACACGCGGCCGCGACGCGTACCACTTTCAACCGCTCCAATGTTCAAACTATAATCCCGATTCGCTTTTAAAAAAAAATGAAAAAGTGGAGCGGGACGGTTTGAAAATCGAACGTTTCGAGCGAGTCGCCAGTGACGCGACGATGCGCGTGCCTTTGGCCTTGAACGACGCACCGCTCATGACCAATTCGAAAAAGATACGGCTCCTTACAACAGACGCTTGCGGTGTTGCTGTTTAAAAATCATTTTTTTTTTCTAAATATATATGTAATTAAGACTATAATGCAACGTGAAACATGATTCTGCTTGTGAAACGGAACTTGTAACGGTGGAGATACTATATTTGTCCAGCCCTTGGAACTTGATATTCTTTCGGGAACCCTTCTGATTGAGGAGATGCATCTAGTCACTCGTTGCTTAGTTGTGCGGTTCCTTACACAATCGTCAATCCTACATTCCGTTGAAGGCTGGATTATTGAAGGCACTCGTTTATACCCTTATACGACAATAACATTACAATTATTTATTTCATATTAGACCCTTCTAATATGGAACGGGTCTAACGTTCGGAATTGGAGTAACTTTGGTTGGCTATATTAATGTAACATGTTTATATATTACGTAGCTAGCGTATATTAAATATAGATTTTAAGATAAGTTCATTTTAATAACGCTTCATCATCATTATAATTAAATCAGCATATTATGTAAACTCACTCCATACGCGACCGTAACTAATTTCGACGTCATTGGCCGACAACGTTGCGATAACAGTTCCACGTCGCTTTGTAAGTGTAAAATAAAATTATATAATTTTCTCTATTCGTTGTTAAATCGTAGCGTTGTCAGCGAATGCGTTGTGTATAAAAATTTCCGATATGAAAATATATAACTGTGAAACTTACAAATGTAATGGTGATAAACATTTGAAATTTATTTGTTATTACAACTATCCGCTATTCACATTAAGTGTCAGCAAAGATCTTGATTACTTGAAAGTAATAAATAGGATTAATGCTAGTTTTGAAGTTCAGCTTCGTTAGTTAAAGGCGAGTCCACTGGTCGACTATATACATTGGTCTTGCAAATTAGCTAGACTTTGACTATAGAATATAGTTATTTCGCACTAAATTATTATACATAATACAAATACCTATGTAGCAACAATGGTACGTTATCTATTGCTTTATAATTGATACAGAACACATTATTTCAATTTGAATTTTATACGGAAAAAGATCGATATGAATACAATCGAATTATATTTATATCAATATAATTTGTGTAAACATTCATCGGACAACATTTCATAATGTTCAATTCGCGTTCGTGTTGCGAATAACATTACTAAAAAAAACAATATCAACAATATTCACAATAAACGTACGCGCGTAAAAAAATTTGGAGTCGATTAATGTCACATGAAAAAGGGACAATGAGTATTATAAATATACATATTTTATGTTACAACGTAAAGCGTAGCGGGTGGCGAATTCGCGTGGGTACGCGCTTTAGCAGCGTGCGCTTGTAACAACAACGGGCCACGGACGAACTGGCCACCCGTCGCATTCGACGCGCCGCTCGAACATTGAGAAATCGATAAAAATAATTTGTACACTATCTTACCTACGTAACGTAACTGTACACACTTTACATCTTACATTGTAAACTTAATGTTAATAGGCTGCGTCATAAATGACATCGATACAACTACATTACTGAGGTAAACTATATAGGATCCACGTCGAAACAGTATCGACTCGACATAGCTTCGACACAAACGTATGTCCCTGATATGAAAGTGAAAATTTGGACAAAGGGATCGCCGCTGCCTCGTAACTATAGATAGAGGAGAGATATTTAAGGAACATAATGAGGAAGAATCGCCGCCCAAATTATTTGATGTGAGAAGTGCGCATGTCAATATCTACAAAGTTCAAAAGTTTTATTCTAAATCAAGTTCTGATACGATTTAATCTGAGAGAATTTACAGAATAGCTGCAAGCGCACTAGTCAATAATTTCATTTAGTTATTATCAATATTTCGTTTAGTCAGTCTATATACAATCGATGTCAATATCCAACATTTTAAGCGATTCATTTAATAATGTAGTCATTACTGTTACATTATAAAAAGTCCTAACATAAAATGACATGTCAACGGTGTAAATAAATAATTAAATAGTCATTTTATTGAGTTAACGGTAGAGGAGTTACGGTACGTTTGAAGATTGCATCAAAGTGAATGCGAGGGCGGCGATTAAATCGTGTACGTATCATACGTTCTTCAACCTAGTCGGCGACCGCGGGACGTAAAAAATAAGCTTACTATACACATACAATTAGACCGCCGGCTCGGCTGCAGGTGGGTGTTTAGGGGGAGGGCGAGGCAGCGGCCCCGCACCGACAATCGGTCGGGGATGGGACGAGGGGGATGGGAAGGGTGTTTAAGTCGTGTCTGTGTGTGTACGAAATAAATAAAACACGTTGCGAACAATTCACTAGCTACGCTTACAACTAGGATTCGAAGAGCGCGGCGCGCGGCGTGCGGCGTCGCCGGCCTGAGGTAGATAGAGGCGGGAGAGGGGGCGGGGGCCGGGGCGGGGCGGGCGCCGCTAGCAGCCGGTGGTGTCGTCGAGGCGGTCGTGCAGCACGCCGTTGGGGCCCTTGAGGGCGCGCGCCGGCTGCAGCGGCTCGGCGGCCGCGTCGTCCGAGCCCCGCGAGCGCAGCGAGGACAGCTCGCGCACCCACGACGCGAGCCGCCCCGACACGCCGAACAGGTTCGAGCCGGAGCCGGTCGCCACGGCGCCCACGTTCACCTCCGCCGACTCCTGCTCCTCGTCTGTCGCACGCATCGCATCGCTTTAGTCGCGCCGGTTAGACGAGCGCACACATCTCGCGCGCGCAATGTACGCGTGCCACAGGCTATATAGGCAGCAGCTCCATAAGCACGGACTATAAAGGCTTCATTTCTTTTAAGATAGTCAATTAGTATACCTAGATTAAATTTCATTGAACGTCATCTCTTCTGAGCTTTCGAGGTGAGTCCATTAGAAGTCCCTTCGCCTTTATTTTATAAAATATTTCTAGATTCTGTTATACATATACCTACTACAGAGAGCCTGATAGAAATTAAGTAACAATGAAGTGCAGTTCCCGTTTAGTATCCTCTCTAAAAACCATACTTTTGACAGTTGTAATTTAAGTAGTACACGTAAATTGTAATGTTCATAACAAAATCAATTTGGCATATCGAAATCACGGCAAAGTAATGAAGCCGAAAAGCGTAAGTCGTAATATCTTTACATTATTGTACTGAAAGCTCCTAACGCTACAAATCTACTTATTATAACATCTACGGACAAAATTACAGTCTACAGTTAATTATTAATAAATTGGACAGTACTAATCGGAATGCCGATATACCAAGTAATCTACATTCTGGTACGGGATTAATAACTCAAACTACGACTATGTACACAAGCTACATGGTTTTTGGTCACTCAGGAAATGATAACAAAAGTGCTCTGTACCATTACAACATGCATCATCCAGCTACTTACGGGTATCAGTGTGCCGTCCGCTCGGCACACGCTTCTTTTGACCGCATGACCGTGCGAACAAACAAGTCTCCCATTATCATCTCTTACAATGTGTCTATCGGTATTTTACTTTGTTGTTTGTTGTTATCATTTACTGAAATGCACCAAAAACACAAACTTTACCGGACTGTGTTCAATCGGACCTTTACTTTGTATGTACAATTGTTTCTCTACATAATTATGTTTCATCATTCCTTAAAACAACAATCGACTAAATTTCAATTTGTACCTGTTGATAACTACTTTAATAATTAATTTACGAATAGAGCTAGAATTTTGGGAAATTTTAAACGCAAGAAGGAACAATTAATATGCAGTTTGCTGCTACTGAAACATACTGTTGTGTTAAAGGGAAAGTGTTCATACACACTACATGGAACATCACAAATAAACAAGTCTCTAGAAGATGTATAGGACCGGGTATATTTTGTATCCAAAATACTGGCAGAACTCGTTGATTAGGCTCGTATTAACAATGGATTTCCATTGTCAATACGAGCCTACTTAGGACTTCGTCAGCTAAAAATAAAGGAAGGGTTGATATTATGCGACCCAAAACTTTAATAACTACTCCCAGTACAACAAGTTTTACGTATATGAGGTACTTTATAACTTTGCATCACTAGTCCACTACATATAATATTATGTATGTAGGCCTGGAGCGATTACGATGGCTCATCAATAAAACATCAATTATAAATAAAGGACATTATTATAGTGAGGGTAGCCAATAGATTATGTGCACCATAGAAAATTGTCTTAGGTCAATTTACCGATTGACTCGTTGACTTGATCTGGAAGTATGGATTCCAGTTTTGTGAACTTTCGAGTGACCGTTTATTATGCTAACATTTTTGTTCATATCACAGGTTACACCTAAGTTGTTTGTAAAGCTTGGCGCAATGGCTTTCTTCATGTATTCCATCAGGGATCTCGAAGGTACGGATGTTAACCACGAAAATTACACAAATAGCACCAATCAGCATTGCGCGCCATTTTAAAGGATGCGAGCCTCACACGGAAAATTTTAAGCCATGGGCTTGCGAAGTCAAGCCTTGGCGAACTTTGTGCCTGTGATTTTATATTTGAGAAACATCTACACTCAAGAATGGCAGAGCCATGCATCAGCTTATAACACGGAACTCACGGAAAACGGGAAAAGTGGAAGTGTTACCACTGTTGCGTTTCACCCCGTGGATTGGCAAGTAGTGCGGAGAAGTATAATTATAAAGAAGGTAGAGACAGTAAACAAGTAACGATATGGAAGTTCCACCAGTTTTATTAAGGGGACAGACCTAACAGGCGTTGAGCCTTGTAGCCGTCGTTGTATATTTTTCACTTTCCATCATCGTTAGTGCGTGGGAGGGGGGGGGGGGGGGGGGAGTTGGCACAAAAAAAGTGAGGCAGACCTAACAGGCGTCGAGGTGGTGGGGTGGAGGGGTTGGTTAGAATGCAAGAAAGTGCGGCCGCTCACCCATCGCGGTGCGCTGCAGCGCGTACATCTCCTGGCCCTGCGGCGAGTGGAAGAAGGAGCGGTGGCGGAAGTGGGGCTGCGCGCTGGGCGCCAGGTCGGCCACCAGCTGCAGGAAGGAGGGGCGCGCGTGGGCGCGGTGCGACCAGCACGCGCGCATCAGCTCGTACAGCCGGTCGGGGCAGTGCTCGGGCCGCTCCATCACGCCGCCCTCCACCACGTAGCGGACCACCTGCTCGTTCGACAGGCCCTGCGCATCCGCTCGGTTCGTTTCAAGGTGAACACTCCGATTGCTTACTTGACATTATATATTTAAAATTGTCTATCGCGCTTATAATCATCACAAGTGCGCAGCTCTCCAATATTAGATATAGGTGTAGTAGTTTGGAGAAGAGTAAAGTCCATCACAATGAACATGTATTATTAAATTTTTTAACAGATTTCATACAGATATGACAACATTATCCTGTTACTATAGAGCGTAAAAAGTTCATGGTGAGCTTTAAGAATAGAATACCTGATAGGGCTGCATCGCAAGTGTCGCCATTTCCCATAGTACGACACCATAACTCCACACATCACTGTTACTTGAAAACACCTAAAAATAAAATTTTATGTTTACTCACCAGGCATCAGAGGATATATTTTTTTATTTAATTTTTAGGAAACATATTTAAAATGGATAAATAAAGTCACAACACTAAACAAAAGCAACAACGGTACGCCTACGCTAAATGCACGAATTATAGCATTTACTCATTCGATCTTTCATCGGTCATCATCATTCACCTGCCCACCTAAGTGGGGGTCGGCACATATGAATCCTGTCGTAAGTGGTTCTGGCTCTGTTTTATTGGGACAAACACATATATCCGGAACTGTTATCTGTGTATCACACAATTGTCCCGTTAATGAATCAAACCCACGACGCCCGGCGCCGAAGACAATGGCTTAGCCGCACGCCACCGAGGCGTCATCGGATCTCTCGTCGCGTTAACTCTATTCTTTCGCGTGGGCAACTCACCCCGTCCTTGAGGCTCTCGGGGCTCATCCAGCGCACGGGCAGCAGCCCCTTGGTGCCCTTGCGGTAGTAGTCCGTCTCGTAGATGTCGCGCGTCATCCCGAAGTCGCCCACTTTGACGGTGAGGTCGCCGGCCACCATGCAGTTGCGCGCCGCCAGGTCGCGGTGCACGTACTTCTTGGCCGCCAAGTACGCCATGCCGTCCGCTATCTCGATCGCCATCTGCAAAGCGTACCAGCTCAACTCGTACCGTATCGGAAGCACTTTGCTTATCCACCCAAGGCTATGTATTTATTTGGGAAAGGTGGCAGCGAGCCGTCGGTCCACCTGATGTCAAGTGATAAACGCCGCCCATAGACATTTGCAGCACCCATACGTTTGTAGAAACGTTTCAACTATTAATGAAGTGCGCCCTGGCTACCTATCCAGACGAAACGTAGAATTATAACACTTCTACTTCACGCCGGTATTGAAATACAATGTAAAAATAAATTGATCTCGCAATAACAGATATAATAAGAGTAGAAATTATGTATGACAAAGGTTGATTATCCCCGAGGTTTAAGCAGGTTAATCGCGGTAATTACCACGACCTCGCAGAAAACCGTCGTGAAATGGAAGTGTTAAATGTTGATACTTCTGCGTTTCGTTTGGTGCGCGACTCACTTTAATATTAGGTGGCAACGCATCTGCAACCCTATGTGTATTGCAAACGTCAATGGGCGACAGGCAACCCTATGTGTGTTGAAAACGTCAACGGGCAACAGCTATCACTTAGCACCAGGTGGCGTTAGAACGTCCAATGGTTCATGACGTCATCACGAAAAGCGGCCCAGGGTTGCCACCTGCAGGATGTTCTGGAGCGTGGGCGGCGCGGCGTCGTCCTTCTTGGGCAGCGAGGAGTCTGCGTCGGGGCGGTGCGAGCGCAGGTAGGTCTTGAGGTCGCCGAACTCCATGAGCTCCATGACCACGAGCGTGGGCTGGCCGCGCGACACCACGCCCAGCAGCCGCACCACGTGGAACGTGTCGAACGCCTTCATCACAGACGCCTCGTTCAGGAACTCGATGCGCTCCCTGCCGAACGCGCGTTTGACTCACATAGCGTTATACGTCACAAAACATCATTTTAACATTACTTGACGACCCCGGAATAGTGAATAGTGGACCTGTCTCTTGCGCCATGGGATGTGGGTTCGAAAAAATATTGTGTCATGAACATCGTGTTTTTCTAACGTGCGAGTGTTTTTGTAATAATAATATGTATAAACAAAAAGAACCATAGTACAAACTTGCTTATTTTGGGACAAATAACGTTGTGTGACAAATATGTCCTGAAAATATTTATTCATTAAATAATTTTCCATTGTTGTAGTCGTTATTTTCAGAATTAAAAGTAGATTTATCGTATCATTGAATTGAGTGCAGATTTTCTACGATCTGAATAGTAAATACTGGTTAACGTCCAGTTAAGTTGTACGTAGTTCAATATCAATCCAAATAAATTTTCCATCTATCTCCATAAAGATGCGATTAACGCGAATAAAAAAAAAGTACCTGTCAGTAGCGTGCTCGTTGACAGTTTTCACAGCGCACCGAGTTTCCGGTTTTCCTTTCTCTATGTTCTTAGCAATGCCCTCGTACACCTGAAACGGGGAGCGAGGTGCTACTTCACTAACTCCGCGGCACAGCGATGCGAGAGATGCGGAAGGGGAGAGGGAGGGGGAGGGGTGGGGGGGAGAGGAGAGCGCGTACCATTCCGAAGGAGCCCTGGCCGAGCTCGCGGATGAACTCGATGCTGGTGCGCGGCAGCTCCCACTCGTCGGGCACGTACACGGTGGACACGTACTCGGGGTTGACGGTGGCGAAGAGCTTGTTGCCCTCCGGCGAAGGCAGCGCGCGCCTCGCGTACCACGCGCCCGCCGCCAGCACCAGCAGCAGCAGCCCGCCCGCCGCCACGCCCCACGCCCACATGTAGCCCGCCTCCGAGCGCCGCTCCTTTTTTGTTATTGCTGATGTTACTCTTTCAGTCCTTATACTATTGAAGCTTCATGGAACGCGTATGTATATATATATATATATATATATATATATATATGTATATATATATATATATATATATATATATATATATATATATATATATATATATATATATATATATATATATATATATATATATATAAATTATTTAAGTAAAATAAAAAATTAAAGCCTATAAATGTCTGCTGGGCAAAAGCCTCCTCAGTAAAGAGGTTATCAGGGCATAGTCCACCACCGGACACCACTGCGTATTGGCGGACTTCAAATATCCTCGAATTATTTTTTTTGTTATTATTTCGAAAACACGCAGGTTTCCTTACGATGTTTGCCTTCTTCACCGCTGAGCGCGTGATAAGTCAGCACTTAAAATTAACAATTCATCAGCTCCCGAGGGGGGGCCTCGACCTGTGCACCCAATACCCGTTTAGCGTTCTGATTGGAGGATACCCAAGAGGGCCGGACCTCAGCTCGATCGGTAGCTATAATCTTACTGAAACAATTTCTAGATCTAGTGCGGCACTGACCGGTATGAACACGTAGACGTCGGCGGACACGTTGCCGGCGCCGCCCACCGTGAGCGGGGTGACGCGCACGCTGTAGTTGCCCGGCGCCAGGTTGCGCAGCACGTAGCCTCGCCCGCTCGCCTCGTAGTCGCCCGCCGTGATGCAGCTCTGCAGGCCCACGTCCTGCGACTGCCGGCCGACAAATATTCCTATCAACCCTCGCATCGCGGCGGTATGTATCGGAAGGGGACGTGTAGATCACTACATAGTATAAAACAAAGTCGTCCCGCTGTATGCTTAGATCTTTAAAACTACGCAACGGATCTTGATGCGGTTTTTTTTATTAGATAGAGTGATTCGCGAGGAAGGTTTATATGTATAAAACATTGAACCCGTGCGAAGCCGGGGCGGGTCGCTAGTCTATTATATATGCTTCCCTTGGAAAACATTGCCGCTTATAGGAGGATAACATTATACTTATAGTTTCACCTGAACAATTCAAGGTTGCGATAGGATAAAAAAGCTTATAGTCAGGAAAAGTTAATTTAATACATTCATGCGTGTTTTTGAAAATGCCACGCACTCACCGGACGAAACATGAAAGCATAATACTTCCATTTTACCCCGGTCTTTTGTGTTGCCGTGGTATGTACTTGCCCGAACGAGCCTGCCCATCTGTACAACAGAAGAAACTGCTGCGTGCAAATACCAATTAATTAAATTTACTGTCTATTCACTTTCAAAATTTCTCAAAGAAATAACTTGTGCTGTTCATGCTTTATGTGTGCCTACGTCACGGAGAATGTCTATTGATATAGGGATTGTGTTAGCCCGAGTACCTGAATGTTGTCCTCAATACGAGAGTGGTGCACGTTGTAGGCCACCACGAACCCGTTGGGGTTCTCCGGCGGCTTCCAAGTCACGTTCACTTCGGGCAGAGTCTTGTTCGACACTATCACTTCGGCGCGCACGTCTTTCACCACGTCGGCGTTTGCTGTGTGAAAAAAGATTTCGCTTAGAGTCAATGTTTTGTTTTATCGAATGATTCTTCCACGTGGACTCGACGCAGATTAAACGGATGATGTGAAATATAATAGATTTTTCACACAATTGTAAATAATTATATCATAGAATAGCTGGAATGTGTTAACCCTAAACGGATAATTTGAATGGCGAATTGGTTCGAGCGGTCCCCTGGTCTCGACCGCCCGTATGATTTAGCAAAAAATTTGTTAGATTCACAACCACACGATCCGAGTGCGAACACTGTTGGTTATAAATTCTTATTTTTTTTGTATAAATGATGTCTTGTCTGTCACCTCGGGACCAATAAGAGCCCATATACGTATATTTATTTTATTTATTTAGACTTTATGCACAAACAGTACAAAGGCGGATTGATGCCAATGGCATTTTCTACTTGTCAACCTTACCTTACCTTACCTTGTAGAGAAAGTGAGGTAGGTGCACAGATATAATGTTTTTTTTTTGCTGGATGAGCTACTGTTGGCCTTAGGGGCCTTTACAGTTCCGAAGGACTTGAGGTGGCCTGGCGCACGGGGTGAACCTAGCCTGAACCTCAGCGTATTATATTACGGTGACTAAGTTCGAGGGCTCCCGAGGGAGCCTCGGCACGGGCCGTCACGCTATTTTTATCACCGGTTTGGGAGGCCGCCTAAGCTCTTACGGCGCTTTGGCGGTCGCTCCATGGAGTTGTCAGGCTCAAGGGTCCCCGAGAGGGGACCTCGGCTTGGGCTGTCACTCAACACGCGTTTAGCATTCCGATTCGAGGGCGCCCGAGAGGGCCGGACCTAGGCTCGATCGGTAGCTATTATCTGACTGGGGGACATAACGTATAGAAAAATAAAAGATATGGCAGCCCATGGTGTGGCAAGTTGTCAGAAGTAATGTCCGACTCACGCAACTCCAGGGTGCGGAACGTGTTGAACGCGCGGCCCGAGCACCACGTCTTCTTGTAGTTGTCCGGCGGCTCGTAGTCCTGCTTCTCGCGGCACGCCCACAGGTTCACGGTGTACCACGTGAAGTGGCGCATGTTCTCCACCAGCAGAGTCCGCGTGGCGCCGTCCAGCTCGTAGTACACGGACCGCACGTAACCTGGTGACGTCGACTCGCTCGTTGGAAACACAACTCTATGCCCGTTCGCTTTAAGATCCATTTCGGAATGAACTCGGTCGTTGGGCAAATTTGAAAAAGATTTGATTTTTGATAAGGGCCTTTTTAAAATGTCCTTGTCTATGTCAATTACGGATAGTTTGCGTAAATACGGTTGCGTTCGAAGGTTTTGGACGGAAGTTAAATGAACGGTGATTGATTAATTTCAAAATTAAGCGACAATGTGTGAGTTTCTTTTAAACATTGAAAATTGTGGTAATTTTTATAAGTCTGTCAGTTATCACATGCATACTATATTACGATTTATTTTCGACTACTTCCATTTTTGTGAATGAATGAATACTACAGAATGAAGAACATGCAAAGCGAGCAATGGATTCTAACCATTAAGAAACACGCTTCTCTTTTAAATTTATAACTACGAGACCAAAGTCTAGACGGTTATATTGCATGCAACAACAATGATTATTCACGTAACGGTAGAAAATCGCTAATATCTTAACCTGTGATATCGTCCGTAATGATGCAAGCGTTAGGCTGGATGCGACTGCACTTGACTGAAATAAGAACGTTGAGATGGATATGATGAGGGCGGTGATGCTGAGAAGCGTAATGGGGCTAAGCACAGACCAATTAGCGGAGAGATTGCGTTCATGTCGGGGTGTTAAGGGTGTTCCAGTAATATTACCGAGTGCCCATCGGTTACCTTCGGAGTCGGTCGAGTTGAAATACTTGAGGCCCTGCTCGGGCTTGTTGTAACCGCTCAGTATCACCAGCATGCTGTTTAGCTCCTTGTCGATGGCGCGTTTTATCCTGTTGCTCGACGATTTCGGCGACTTGTTCCTGTCCGTCTTTACGTACACCTGCGAAAAATTGGTTTGTATAGGAGACTTATATTGTTTGTTTAGTAATATTTAAACATCACTACATCAGCATATCTTCTTCAGACTTGACCACATTTTATCTCTTGTGATAAAGTTGCTATCGAATCGAGAGTTATCATTTCCTCATTATCATCTTACGCTAAGAAAATTGAAAGTGCACAACGTTCAAAATAATACATGTAAGTTAATTATACATGTAAATAATACATTTTTTATTAACAAAGTTTTTTATGTGAAAAGTTGTGAAACTAGCTGGCAGTTCATCTGACGCGAGAAGTAAATACTGCCGCGCATGGACATCTACAATACCCAATGGCTTGCAGATGCGTTGACAACCTTTAAAAAGTTAGCCCGGGCCACCTCACTCACCAGACGAAACGCTAAACTATAACACTTGCACTTCACGCTGGTCTTTGAGGCCGTGACCCCGTACTAGCCCGCCCATTCGTGCACCAGCGAAGACAGTTGCGTGGCCCTACCATCGTTTCATTGGTGTTAATTTTCCGCTGAGCATACTTAAAGGGACGTTCGAATTGAGAGATGCTAGTAAATATACAAGACCACCGTTTTGGCAAAACATGGAAGACGATCCGAGCGTGAGTGGTGGTCGGTTCGAGTTGCTCCGTCGGGGCGCTCGAGTGCCGCAGCGGGGCCACTCATTTCGTTCACGGGCGGCGAATATCACTTCCGTGATCCGTCAGGTGAGCCTCCTGCACGTTTGCCCCTTTTTAACCGACTTCAAAAAGGAGGAGATTCTCAATTCGATTGTTTTTTTTTGTTTGTTACCCCAGAACTTTCGACTGAGTGAACCGATTTTGATGATTCTTTATTTGTCATTTGGTCCCATATTCATTTCATTGGTATTGGATCTTGGACTCCGGAGATATGTGGGAAACTATTGAAAATCAATTATAAAATGAATACAGAGCGAGATTAAAATATGTAGAAAAAGTGCGAAAAGATTGTCGCCGCTGTGGGAATCGAACCCACGTCTTCGGCATTCGCGGCCTGACGCTCTAGCCACTGAGCTAAACGGCTGATGACCACACCGACGAAAATCTTAACGCATTCCTCTACATTGTTTTCTTAGCATTTGAAGCAATGCTTGGCGCCATCTATTGTTATATCCTTTCCAGCATACAAACTCGCACTTTTTCTACATATTTTAATGTTCAATCTTAAGTGCAAAGATTAGCACTATAAACAAGTTAAATTTCTACAGAGCGAGATATTTGTAGTCGCTTCTGTTTTTCGTTAGTAAAAAAACTTGACTTGTGTTTCCATTAAAAAGAAATGGAAAAAAAAAGCTCACGTGGTTCTGCAGCTCGTTCTCGAAGTTGATGCTGTCGATGCGCTCCTGTTCCGCGAGCGAGCTGAAGCGCGCCGGGGGCGGTTCCGAGCAGGCGCAGGTGCCGTTCACGTTGCCGGTGCCGCCGCCCCGCGCGCCCTCCGCCCCCTCGCCCGCCGCCCCATCGCCCCCCTCGCCCCCCTCCTCGTTGCGCACCGTTATCATGTTCGACAGGGCGCTCGCTGCAGGACAACAGATTTAGAAGAATAAACCTATACCGATTCTCTCGCTGCTTTTCTCGTCCGCTGTGTGTTGTCGCCTCTAACGGGTCCGCTGCAATGGACGACCAAGCTCCATACCGATCGTCCATGCATTCTAGTCGCCTTACACGACAGACAATGGATACCTTCGCCTTATTATTTGCCCGAGAATACTGGAGCTGATCGCAGCGACGGCCTCGTGACTTGAAAGGTAGTCAAAGTTGAAAAGTGATTAGCGCTGGCTTTATTCGTCATCCCCGTAATGGTAAAAAGACGCGAATGTAAGTATCCGTTAATAAAACATAAAACATTCATTTATCAATGTATACTTCTGTGTATATTCATCTAAGAACAAAGCGACGTAACAGCCAACGCATGGGCGTGTAGTGGGACCTCTACTGGGCAATAGGCCTCCTCTGACCCGAGGGCACAGGGACTTCTATATGATACCAGATGGGCTAACAACAAAAAAATCATGTTTGTGTGTAGTTATGCAAGCGTGTACGAAGTTATACTTCTTTATCTTAACAAAAAAAATAACTAAAAAATTCAACCCGCTCTCTTTGTTTTTGAAAAAAGATATTAAAATAATAAAACACAAATAAACATAGAATCATTATTATCGTTCTAAAATGACATAACGAAAAACTATACTTACTATGACGGCGCGGGCCCTATAAACCGTACCGCGAGGCGGTTTTAGGGATGTGGACTGAACTAACAAATAAAATCATTTTTGTTTGACGGTGCGTGATAACTGTCATTGAGAGTTGTAGTGATATTTATTAACAATCAATATGTACGAACGTGAGACTTCCATGTTTTATTAGCGTTCAATGAATTAAATGCAATTGATGACGGTTTAATTAAATAACTTCATTTAAATGACATGAACACCATCGTGGAACACTAACGGTTGTTGCAGTAGTTGAGATTGTCTGCGAGGATGGTGGCCCGGTTGTAGCTGTTGGCCTGGATCTCCACGTGGTAGATGGAGATGGTGCCGTTGGGCATCGAGGGCGGCTGCCAGCTGATCTGCACCGAGTGGGCGCTGCGCAGCTCCACCGACAGACCCAGGGGTGGGCTCGGCGCTGCCGGAACATCGAAGCATTAACGCAACGCCGCACGGCTCTACAATGCTGGATGAATCGCAAATGCTTAGAACTTCCCATCACATTGCTATCTGCCGAAAAGTATAACAGTTCCGCTGTGGGCAAAAACCTCGCCTGTACAGAGGTTATTAGGACATAGTCTACGCTATATCAATAAAAAAATAACAATATCAACATATTAATAAGCATATTCATACGTCCGTCTATCAGTCATCATTACAGTTTGTCTTCTGATCCGAACCCTACTTAGAGTTTACTTCAAGTGAACAACGTTACTAGTAGAATTGGCTACGTGACGGGCCGCCTGACAAACACTCTTCTCGAGCCAGAATCGAGCCACGACCCATCACCGAAGCCGCCAGCTTATCAACGGCGGGGCTTACAGTCGGGCAGGGTCTTGAAGTAGATGATGGGGCTCTGCGCGCCCTTCTTGTCCTGCAGCGTGGTGTAGGTCTTGACGTAGGCGGCGTAGCGCGTGTACGGCGTCAGCTGCGTCACCGGGTAGAAGTGGGGCTGCAGGTTGTCGCAGGGGTTGCTCAGCGCGCTCTTGGCGCTCGGCGGCGGCTTGGTGCTGTTGCTGCGGAACTCGTCCATCGTTATGTCCAGCACGTTCCACCTGCAAAGCGCCGCGCGGTTGTTAGGGCGCCGCCCCCTCGATATGTAGATGAAACATCCGACCATCGGCCGTTTAGCATGCTGGTTCGATTCCCGCATTGGATTTTTCCTACAAATTTTAAATCCATCATCGGTTTGTGTTTCATCATCCGATGTTAAGTAACAACCGCCACCTGCCGTTGCATTGCACAATGGGCAGACTCGTTTGGGGAAGTACCGCGGCCTCACAGAAAACCGGCGTTAAGTGGAAATAAATACTTTCGCGTTTCTTCTGGTGAGCGAGGTAACCGGGGCCCACTATTTTAATAGTTGGCAGCGCCTATAACCCATCGGGTGTTGCAGACGTCCACGGGCGGCTTTAATCACTTAAAATAAGGCGATCAGGCGCGCTAGACTAAGAAGCGAAGCTGTTGGCGTGACGCACGTGTCGGAGCAGGCGTCCCGCTGCCCGTAGAGCGTGACGTTGTGCTCGGCCGCGATGTAGTAGATGGAGTAGCCGAGCATCTTGCGGCTGTCCTCGGAGCAGTACATGTCCCACGTGAGGATGACGGTGCGGTCGCGGAGCGCGCTCACCTTCAGCTGCAGCACGTCCTGGAAGCCTGCGGGGGGACGCAGCGGTTATTAAAGCGGAAATCCGGCCGGTCGCTTTAAATTCTGCATGTGCCGGCACCAATGAATTTGTTACATTTAACTGCTGTCTTATGATGACGCCCAGCGGTGTAGGAAAACATTGTGAGGAAACAAAATATCTAAAATAAGAAAAATTTCCAAGATGTCTGTATGCGAAGTCTGCCAATCCGCAGTAGAGCCGCGTGGGGGACTATGCCCTAACACCCTATGTACAGAGGAGGCCTTTGCCCAGCAGTGGGACATATATAGGCTGTCACTTTATAAAAATAATTTCTAAAAAATATTTCTTAATAATAACAATGTTTACACGTTTAAAAAGCTAAGAAGTTTTAACTTCTAAGGTAGTCCTACGACTGACAGTTCTTTTGAATAAATGACCGGCTATAGTGTGAGATTTTGATTAGAATTTGATCCTTAAAGATCCACATTACGGTCGAATCGAAATCGAACATTATTGGAAGATCCGAACTTGATTGATATAAAACTTTGTAAGTAAAACAATAATATACTTCTATAGTTAAATAATTATATGTATACATATATATTCGTATACACATTACTTCGTCTCCTCTGTGTCTATAATTAAGCTATGATTACGATTCGGTTTAGGGGATTTATGTTTTATACACGAAAATCGTTATATGTCTAGATTTTTGTAAACATCCAGGTACGAAACGCTTCGTGAGGTTACCGAATTTTGATGAGTTGAAGTTTTTGAGTTGCTTAAAATACTGGGTGTTAACTATACACGAGATTTTCTTAATACATATAAGCTTCTCAAATCCGATACAGGTCAATTCCATCGTGAAGCGACGCAAGGGCGGAAGATAATGTTCCCGTGGCAACATCCCTCCCTCCCCCACCTACCCCTCCCCTACTAACCCCCCTTTATACGAAAACGCTGAGTGTATAACGACGCTCCGAAACTATTACGTTACAGACTCGCAAACAATACGCGATTATGTTGCTAGATTCTGATAGACAGCGTCCCGAGCCGTGCCCATGATAATGCGATGACGTTTTTCTATTGTATATCGGTACCAAGATATTAATGTTTAACCTCAATACACCCCCACCACCCGTTTCTATTCAATGTCACTGCCGTTTTGTTTATATTCGAATCTAATACATATCCGGAAAGCTTTATGATGTATCGTGTAAGCGAAATAAGCCCATGATTAAACGTAACATCATTAGTTGAAACAATGGGGGAATTTATATATATATATATATTTGTTTTTATATGAAAAGATGTCAAGCAATCAGGCGATTGTCGTGATATGAAGTGATTACCGACGCCCTGCCCATTGCTGTTGCGTGGCTCTACCAATTTTTTTTTAAAGCTGGACAGAATTGATTTTGTTCCTTATATATTTTACTCGTATATACTTGGAATTTTTCGATATTTAACGATTCCCAGATTCATGAACCTATTGAAATGTGGTTTGAAGTTGCTCATGTAAGGCAATATTTCTTACTGAATTTACGATAATTTCGAGAGAATAAGACTATTAGGCTTATTATAACAGACAGTTCTCGTTCAAAAATTTCGTTGGACAATGTTTTTAACTATGCTAGAGACGTACCATCTAAGCATTAAATACAGCTAAGCATCAAGTTTAATAGTAATGAAGCACAAATCAAATTATCAACTGTTAAACTCGGCTACTTTCTTTTTAAATATTGAGAGCCACAGTTACATATTTTATTGCGGTTTATTTTTAATTGGTATACCCTTAATTTTTTTTTCTTTTCAAAAAACATTGCCCTTACTTTGGGATAACATTATCCGGTGTTGAAAGGACGTTTTACGAACATAAATTTCACGCGCACAAACACCCAGATGCGAAACAACTATCTGTGGGTCACACAAATAGTTGTCCCGAGTGGGAATCGAACCCACAACCCCCGAAGCTAAAGCCAATACCTTAGCAATTGCGCCACGGAGTCATCGCGTCAATTCTATTCCTATCATCAATTCTATTTCCTCTTCTCGTATAATTCAAAATAACTATTCGAGTAGACTCTACCGAACTCTATGAATTTATCGTACAGCATAATGCTAAAGATAAACAAAATGTTAAGTTATATCTTAAAGTGAGTATATTTGATAGTGGAAGTATATTTGATGACTCCGTGGTGCAGTGGCCAAGGTTTCGGCTCCGGCGTCGGGGGTCGTGGGTTCGATTCGCACACGGGACAACTATTTGTGTGAACCACAAAAATAGTTGTTTCGCATCTGGGTGTTTGTCCACGTACAATGTATGTTTGTAAAACGTCCTTACAACACGGGATAATATTAGCCTAAAGTAAGGGTAATGTTAAAAAAAAAATAGAGAAATGTACGAGCGAGCACTGACATGAGGCCTGGTCGCCGTTGTTGTCGACGGAGACCTCGATCTGGTCGAACGTGGAGAGGGGGTCGCGCGTCATGTTCTTCAGCGGCAGGATCTGGTTGTAGCAGAGCTTCGGGTTGAAGTGGATGAACAGCCTGCCCCGTGTGATCTCGATCGGCTTGTGCACCGACCAGTCCCACAGCATCTCCAGGTTCGGGTTGTTGAAGATGTACAGGCTCTGCATTCTGTAACAATTGTGCAACTTGTAACGTTCGCAGTGATTTCTGTTAGGCAAATTGTGGCGTTTGCCTGTTCTGCTTTGATGGTGACATATAGACGAATTAACAAAATAGGTGCTTCAATAAATCGGTCCATTTACAATCCCTTACTTTAAACAGTTTAAAATTAATGTGTGTTTGCTATAATTAATTTGTTGCAAATATTTTAATTCTTAATTATACCTACACTGTTTTTAGATTTTAATGTTATTAAACGAACAACATTTAAATCGAATGATTAACTTTATGAATTAATCTGTAATCTGAACAGTTTTACCGATTCTAGTGAAAGTGCTGTGTTGTTCAAGGATATGATCGTATTCGGTTAAGAAGAGTGACATATTGATCATATGGTATCATCATTGCGACTCACTTGTTGTCGTTGGTGACGCCGCCGATGCGGCGAAGGTTCTTGAGGAACATCAGCGAGACGAGCGGGTAGGCGCGCGTCACCTTCAGGCTGCCGGTGATCTCGCGCACCTCGCCCAGCGACGCCTCCAATACGGCCATCGTTTTGCCTGCACCGGTTTCATCTTATAAAAGCCCCCGAGAACGCAAAAACCACAAGGGTTGTCATAATTTGGACATAAACATGTCATGTTGCTGACATTTTTTGAAGAGTTCCGTTGTCCATCTCCGAAACTCATCATCAGAGCCATATGAATTTTAAATGGGACCATTTCGGAATAAAACCCTTTAGAACAAAAAAAAGAATCTTGCAAATCCGTAAATACGCGACGGAGCTATGCCCGAACATACATAAAAAAATATAAACATCCGAATTGATAACCTCCCCATTTTGAAGTCGGTCAAAGATCACGGTATAACTGTTGATGAATTGTCTATACCGTGAAATCGGAAGACGTTAGAACTTTAATAATAACTAGCGGACCCGACTAGACGTTGAACTGTAAACGCGAGTGAAATCCGAAAACAACTTATACGTAAAAAAAAATGTGGACCGAAATGTGAATCTAAACCATTCTAGAATCAACCTGAAGACACACAAAATTTCATTAAAATCGGTCCAGCCGACATACACACACAGAGGAATTATATATATAAAGATTACCTCCGCTGGCCCTCAGCGAGATCTCGAGCGAGCCCTTGAGGTGGGTGCAGCCGCGGAAGTGCTCCGCCGTGGCCACAGAGTCCACGCGTCCGCCGCCGCACTCGCGCACGCAGCCCGCCGGCTGGCAGGGGCGGCACGTGCCGTTGTGCGCCGCACCCACCTGGACAACAGAGACACCCCTTTTTTTTTGCTTGATGAGCCACTGTTTGCCTCAGGGGCCTTTACAGATCCGGCTGACTTGAGGTGGCCTGGCGCTCGCCTAGCCTGAACCTCGGCGTATTATTATTATGCGTATGCCACTCCCTTATACTCTTTCGCTACGAGTAATATTACGACCCGTGCCGAATGTCACACCGTGGTCACCACTAACATTATCACGCCCGTTCGTCTATCGTTTCAAACAATACTAGTCCACTTGTGCCAAATATTCGCACAGTACCGTGATCGATGTCCGAACAGTAATATGTAGTGTAACTAACTATTTATGAGAGGTGTCTCATTTTGAAGAATAAAGGTCTTCAGTAATCTTTGCCGTCTTCAATTTAAACAAATTCTCAATAGATGGGATTATCATACAATATGTAAATCTATACAAGAACTTTTAAATGAAAGTTCAAGGTAACGGTCGCCAATCCGCCCTCCGGTATGATTTGATACCAAATATCGAAAAGAACGTGACCAATATTGTTTGCAGTAATTGTTCGACTCGGTCTTTGGTTTTTAAAAATCGGCTTTTAATTTTTTTTTTCAAGATAGCAGATAGGAAATTTCTTAAGATTGCGGGCGGTTCACCTAATTGATTGACATGTGATTGACACAACCTTTAAAAAAGTGGGCCCTTGTTGCCTCACTAAGCAGATGAACCGCGAAAGTATAATAATTCCTCTTCACGCTGATCTTCTGTGAGGCCGTGGCTCTTACCCGGGCGGGCCAGCCCATTCATGCAACAGCAGAAGCTGGTGGATTCCCACACTAGACAACTATTTGTGTGACCCACAGACATCACAGATAATTGTTTCAATTCACGGTGTTTGTCCAAGTGAAAATTATGTATGTAAAACGGCCTTACAAAACATGGTAACGTTATCGTACACTAAGCTGGCAATTTTCGAAGGAAAGTCTAAAATAAATCTTCCGGGTCGCAATGGTCGTAGAAACTTCCTACCCATTCATTTCCACACAAAATGTATCACTACATAATACAAAACAAAGTCGTCCCGCTGTCTGTCTGTCCCTATGTATGCTTAGACCTTAAAACTATGCAACGGATCTTGATGCGGTTTTTTTACTAGATAGAGCGGTTCAAGAGGAAGGTTTATATGTATAATACATTGCACCCGCGCGAAGCCGGGACGAATCGCTAGTATTGTATGTACAAAACTCCATGAACAGCACCTCCATGTATCCGCTGGGGCAGTAGTATACACAGGTGTTGTTGAGGATCTTGTATGCTGGGATGTTCGGCGCCGGCTGGCTGGACTCGGCCGGCTGCGGCGGCGGCATCGAGCGGCACTCCTGCTCCGTCACGCAGCGCCTTGAGAGCTGCGCACCAAACGCGAAACGATCGCACCCGAATTGCCAGCGGCTGATTTGGAACGTCCTCGAGTGGGACGTACCGGGACACGTAGCGTTGGAAGGCGATTAGGTCGACCGACGACAACGGGTCGCGGAAGATTGCGTCACGTGTTCCCGTTCGTGGTTCTTAGAGGGTACCCGTTTCTGACTAGGACACATACCACACATCCTTACAGGATTTTTATCACGTGGACCGACGACGTAGTAAGAGTGGAGTACCCGGTGGATGCAGATCGCATTCGTTTGTTGCGTACTACGGGGGCCTTTGTTTAACAGTGTGATGATGATGAGTTGGAACCCAATGATAAGAGTCGAAGTTTTACCAACAAAGGCGGACTCTTTAGGATAGCTTATTTTTACCTATGCCTAGATTATTGTGTGATGGGTCTGGTGTAGTCAATCGTTTACGGAATAGGCAGACACATATAAAAAGCCGAAATTGATTATTCAGCAGACCGCGGTCAATCACCGTTTCACCATTAAATGCTTTCCGCCAGAGACCGAAGCCTGCATCCACCGGCTCCCCGCGCTATCGGTCGATCGCTATTGTCCCACTACCGCTGCGTGGCTCACCCTGTAGGTGTTGGCGGGGCAGGAGGTGACGCAGGTGCGGTTCTCGCCGTAGCCGAGCGAGTAGTTGGCGCACACGTGGCAGTCGCGCGCCAGCGGGCCGTCGCAGCCGCCGAGGCAGGTCGCGTTGCAGCAGGTCCCGTTGTGGGCGCACGCGCGGCCGCCGCACGCGCTCGGGCACACTGCAACGACGCAGCCAATGCACTGATCCGCGCGTGTGTGTGTGCGTGTGAGGGAGAGGTGGTAAATATAATTCGTCGGCGCGCGTGTGAGTATGTTAAGTATGTAATTGTGTGGAGGATGAGAGGAGGGGTGGTAAATATAATTCGTCAGCGCGCGCGTGTGATTATGTTAAGTATGTAACTGTGTGGAAGATGAGGGGAGGGATGGTAAATATAATTCATCGGCGCGCGCGTGTGTGAATGTTAAGTATGTAAGGAATGTGTGTGCGTGTTAAAGAAGAAATGCGCGTGTGTGGAGGTAATGCGCGTGTATTCGTGTCTATGGGGTGTGTATTCGTATAAAGACTACATAAGATGAATCATGAGCGTTTTTCTTCTTCTTTCTCCTGCCCTAAGGTGAAAGAAGGTAACCCGTTTAAGGTGGGATAACGGCACCACTTGTCAATAATTTTGTTAATGTGTTGGTTAGGTATTGTACGACTGGCCGTCTGCTTGATATCAACCCTCCTAGGAAGCAAACACCCAGATCCGGAAAAATTATATATGGTTCACACAAATACTTCTTACATTTATAAACTTTGACTTTGAAAAAAGAATGAGTGTATGAAGGAGAAGGCGGTAACGGCCCTGCTGAAATCTACATATTATTTCTTGCTTTTGAGTTACACTCGGAAAATTATAGAATTGATAGTAATAGACCGGTAATATCTTCGGTCCCGATACTTGGCAGCAGTGAACGGTGTCTTTGTTGAAGTCCTATCATATAGTCTGATACACATTAAAATCATATTACAGTTCTGAAGAATATATTGTATAAACAAATGCAAAAGCAAAAGTTAACTAATAATTTAAAAAGAGATTTTCTTTGATACTTCAACAAAATCTTTCGGAGCTGCAGGGCTCGAACCTGCACCTTCGGAGTGAAGCGCCCATACGCTTTACCAATTAAGCACGGACCTCCAGATCGAATCTAAATGTTAAAATTGACCAACGAAAAATAAAAAAAAATATTCTTGATCTTTACTGTCCATAGCTTACTCTTTTGACAGTTCTTTTCGTCCCAACAGAGCAGCCGTCCGGAGGAATCCGCGGGACATTGCAAGTGTTGCTGTCGGTGGTCTTCCATGCGGCTCTGCGCGTTTGGGCACAGACCGCACAGTCGCGGGTCATAGTTCGACTACAGAGCAAAAAATTGATCGATGAATTTATTTTATTTGTTATAATTGTACTTAAAAATGCAATTAACATTCACATAATCTCAGCAGTAACCGTATGATCGAATATTGTGAAAATTAAATGGTCGATGTTAAAAGTGTTTCTCAGTTTGTTCATGTCTGATTATTCGTTTTAATATGAACGTTGTTATTTCTATACTCTGCCTTTTTTAACGTTCCGCTAATTGTGCCAGTGTGTATATATGAAAGCTTTGCCGTTTTATTCCAATAAAAGCAAGATGTCGGTAATACTTTTTAAAGATAAGTTAATAAATAAATCCGTCCGCAACCTAATATTGACGTGCAACCGCATTGGGTTTGTTATTGAACACATGACATGCCGCCCCGGTCACAAGGGGGCGTGGCGTCGCACACAGAGACCGGCATGAAGTAGAAGTGTTAAACTTCTGCGTTACGTTTGGTGAGTTAGGTAACCGGGCCCACTTTATTAAAAGGCGGCAAAGTATCTGAACCATAGGGATGTTGCAGATGTACATGGTGGACGGTTATCACTTAACATCAGGTGAAGTAACGCCAGCTTGCTCGCCATCAACAACATTCTCACATAAAAAAATGCTTTTCTCTATTGCATCTTCTGAAAGTTTTCGACCATTAACCGTTAAACGCGCATTTAAATTTACACTTGTCCTTGTTTAATTGTATAATAAACAATCGTAGAGATGCAGAGTTTTAGGCGAGATTGAATACATTGACGCATAACATTTAAAATTGATAAAATTAAAACTATGCACCACGTATTAGCCGTATAACGTATACGTGATGCGGCTAATACGAGGAAACCATTTCATTGTTCCGTGACACGTGAGTTCATGAGGAAACGCAACTAATTCCCGGAATCTTACTTACGAGGAGCGGATAATTCAAACGCTGAACATAAAAAACGGTTAAAGGAAACACTTTGCATACGATTGTATTATGACATACACAAACTTTTTTTCTCTGATTTCAAGAGTTTCTGTATTTATTAACAAATAAACTGCCATGATATTTACAGTAGTATGGCTAGGCTATTCACCCTTTATATTGGCTATATGTCCAAGAGCTACGCAAAGGCTTTCCCCGTTGCAAAGGGTATTAAGACAAAGTCCGCCATCATCTTTGCGGATTGCCGAATCCTGATTGAATCTTATTATTATATATACCTGAATATTGAATCTTATTATTCACACGGTGTTTAAAATTCCAATTATCAATTTAATGAGGGCTAATACCGCCATTTTAAATTCGGTTTTTCGGACACTGATTCCTTACGAACCTATATATATATGTTTTATGTAAAATTTGACGATTCATAAGAACGCACAAGCGTCTATTTGACTAAAGATATTTTTGATTGATTGATTGACTGAGCTACTTCGGATCCATATATACATAGACACGGCTCTCATCATATATGTATATCATGGAATATCTACCAGTACAAATAAATGAGTACTGACAGCAATATTACATTAAACCCGGTAAAGTGTATAAAAAGTATTAACAAAATAAATAAAAGCCTAAGAACAATTAAAGAAACATAATTTTAGGAAAGTAGTCGAGGCAAAAATTGTAAATAAGAATATTCTAATGAACAAATTAATCGAGGACTGAGGTATATGTGTGGTCATCTGGTCTCTAGGCTGTCGCTGAATTTATGCTAATGCAATGGTCCAACAAATTTCACCACAATAAAAGATATGTATTTGAACGCAGAATTTATTGCTTTGTGCTCTGAACAGGTTGTAGGTTGCAGATCGGTGGGTAATTTTGACGTCAATTAAAACAAGTCTAAACAAGACTTGAAAAAAGTCTAAATTGGATATTTTCATTCAAATTATATTAATAATAAATAATATCATCAATAACTTTTCTCACTACAATACCTTTCAACATTATGTTGTTTTTTTGGTAGAAATGTATACTTATCTATTATATTATACTATACATACCTCGAATACCGTAAGAATTTTAAAATTTTTACTGTTTTGGTTTCTCTCATTACAAACTTAAGATCCCGACATTTTAAATACTTAGAAGCATTCACGGTCACGGAATTACGACGATAAGGTACGTAAGCATTGTTTTATTTAACGTTCACAACTAACTTATGACAACATTGTATGTAAAGGGAACGTTTGCAGTAACAATGTCGATGAAACTGCCGAAAACACTGCGGTATATACGTAAACATGCACTGCGCGGTTGCCTGTTACTGCAGTTATCGAGCAATGCGGTGCGGCGAGGTATAACGTAGTCAGTTCTAAAGAGACAACATCCTAGTAACTCCTAAACATTTCGAAATCGGCGCAAAACAGACGGTGTCTACATAGCGATCGATAGCAACGACTTCCCCCACCTTACCCGGATCAAGATGTTGTCTTCGCCGTCGCTCACTATCCGCGACCAGTCGATGGTGTTGGTGTAGCAGAGGCGGTCGTTCTGTTGGATCCGAACGCCGCCTCGCTCCACGCGCGCCAGCGAGCGCAGCCCCAACGCCTGCCGAAAAGCTCTCCTTATAGCAAACGCTAACTTTCACTAATTATTAACATTTGTAGAGAAAAGGAACGCAAAGTTTTTCGCCGCTATGGAGGATCGAACCCACGTTTCGGGATTCGATGTGGTCGTCAGTGTGGCCGATCATCGGCCGTTTAGCTCAGTGGCTAGAGCGCCAGGGCGCGAATCTCGAAGACGTGGGTTCGATTCCGTAGCGGCGAAAATCTTTAAGTTCCTTTTTTCTACAAATTTTAATGTTTAATCTTAAGTGCAGAGATTAGCACTATAAAACTTTTAATTTCCACTAATTAAATAGACTAACTTATCCTATCTGCAGTATATCACTCAAGCTGTAACCTGTCAATATATGACACAGAGCGCCAAAAGATAGTTCAGACAGCTTATTTTTTATTAAGTTTATTACAACAACTCCAGCCATACCTAGTTTTAGAAAGATTAAAACGGAATATGGATATTTAAAAAAGTACTATTTAGAAGTTAGTTTGTATTATAAAAGACCTCATACCTCGAGGTTTTCGCAATCAAATACAACGATGGCGTAATCCTTGAAGAGTTGCATGCCGCGCACTACAGAGAGATTCGGGAAAAGGGCGCCGAGGTTGATCACGCCCATCAACCTGAAAATGTAGACGTGAGACTTTATTCAGAAAAGAAAATCATTACACCACATCAAGAATATTGGAGCTTTGGTATAATGTTACAAAGTCATCTAACTTCATTTAATTTGACTCGGTTCGAAGAGAAATGGAGTTCCCAAAACTATATGAAATAAAGAACTGCTACGAGGAAGATGACCTTCACTTTATAGTTAAATGGTTTTACGATTAAAAATATTCGAAGTTTTCTATAATCTCCTCTCATAATAAATGTAAATAACTGTAACTATCAATCATCGCACGGTTAATGTAAACGGCATCGTAATAAAGAATTAAAGAGAGATTTGAGACTGAGACTTAAAGGCATTAAGTAGGGTCTAGTCGACTTTTACACGACATATTATATACAGTTTCTGCTGTTGTGCGAATGGGCAGGTTCCTCTAGGGAAGTACCACGCCCTCACAGAAGACCGGCGTGAAGTGGCAGTATTACACTTTCGTATTTCGTCTGGTGAGTGACGTAACCGGGGTCATTTCTAAAGAATGTCAACGCATCAGCAATCCATCGGGTGTTATAGATGTCCGTGGGCGGCGGTATTCATTTAACATCAGTTGAAATGCCTGCTCGCTTGTCATATTTTGAAGAAAATAAAACATACCTGTATATTTTTATATAGCCAGTCACTTCCCTCAGTTCCGGGAAGCTCATGTTCTTGAAAGCTTTCGGTGAGGGGTGCTCGATGACTACAATACTGAGGTGACCTTCGATCACCCGGCAGCCGCGCAGCTTCAGCATCTGTTCCGGATGACTCCGTATGTCTATGGACGGACATACTGGAACAATGGACATCAAAGGTAAGTTGTTAAATAAATAAGTTTTACCGTAGATATTCTGTTAAAATAGATATTCAGATTCGCAACGTCATTTAACAATTGCCAGTTGTCCAATTAGACGAAAAGTATGCCTAATTACTCAACATTTACTTATATTGAATTTCCTTATACAAATAATGTAAGATTTCCTCGCCATGCCTGCAATGCGGGCTACTATTTCGCCTGAGCGAGACATTTTGATTGAACTATCTCTCTTTATCTACGGTATTTTATAAGAAATTGATAATAAATAGCTTAAACAATCTATTTATTACTTAATTCAATATTATGGTATCAACAATTAATCAAATTGTTTCAACTAGACACTCTGATCTAATTTAAGATTATCTAATATTAGGACACTCTTCTTCCTTTGGATAACAGCTGAAGTGTTTTGCGTAGTAAACAATAAATGTGGCGTAGAAATGTCAAAAGGGTGCTTTGAATTTAATTGGCGTTAAATGTATACAATTACATAACTAGTACATAGTAAAGAAATGGAAGATGTGCGCTTGATTTTGCTTTAACATTGATCTAAAAATTAATATGAAAAGTATTAACTCAAGAAACAATAAAACTATTTAGTTAACTCAAGAAACGTTTGACAAGCATCAACATAATTTTAATCTTTGACAATTTTAAAAACATTTTATACAAAGTTTGTTTGTAATTTTCTTCTATCCTAATATTAATATATTTTTAAAATTTCTCGATAGCGGCCATTTGTATGTTACTAATTTCGGCGCTTTGAAGAATAAAATTTTAATAAATGACGTAAGCAGCATTTGCCGGCGCGTCCAAGAGCAACAGCCATTTATTCGAAGTTAAACACATCAATATTGTTATTAGACTATTCTGAGAAAAGATAAACCGTAATTATCGAATGCAGTGATTTCAACTGCACGTGTGTACGTAGCAATGGTTTATTTACGACGAGGTGAGGAACTAGTTGAAGCAAGTTGTGAGGATTTTATTAGTAAAGTAAATGCCTTCACACAACACAACTAACAACTCCTACGGCTTGGTCATAGGGTGTTAGATATTGGAACACGTTGCGTTATGACGGCGAACATTGCGACGTAATAATCCGGACTGACGTACTATAAAAGATGGTTTTGAAACCCAATATGGAAGCAGTAGTACTATTAACGGCTTACTTTCAGTTAAGTGCATGCTTAGTGGTGGATTTTGACCAATCCTTACTAATATTATAAACGCGGAAGTTTGTATGTATGGATGTATGTTTGTTACTCTTTCACGCAAATGCTACTGAATTGAGTTTAATGAAACATTACAATAACATAGCTTATACATCAGAATAACACATAGGCTATAATTTATATACATATTTTATGTATATCTGTCTTTCTGTCTGAAAGTTATGCCTTCACCCTAAGCACTACTCTACTTCTACGCAGACGTAGTTGCGGGCAACAGCTACTTGAGGTATATATGAAATTACTAGTATACCATGGCATTTTAATTATAATAATAAAGGGCATTAGTGCTATGTTTAATAGTTTTTGAAGTTATACTTGGTGCGTTTGGAAAAAATTATGAGACTAAATTTTTTACGATGCGTGCGCAACGGTTTGCGCACGCATCAACAGCCAAAGAGGGACATGAAAATTTTATTTATTTTTCTAATGTTACGCTAAAGAAGTATAACTTCTTACGTACATAAGTACACACGTTTTTTCGTTAATTTCTATATGTACCAATTTTTTACTTTTACAATATTTATATCGCTTATATTATAAGCGTTGAATATTCGTTAAGGCCCATTTACACGATGCCATTATCTTGTACATGCAAGAGCAATAATTGAATGCAATAAATTGCGCACAATAATTGGTTAGACCATTTGTTGTTTAGACCATGCAACTTATTTATTGCTTCAATTTAATTGTATACAACAGGCAAGAAACTGGCACCGTGTAAATGGGCCTTTATTCTTGAAATAATTTCAGTCGAAATCGAGCGAAGAGTAAAAACAGAAATGTGAAATGAACGAGGACGACGAATAGCCTAACTCGTCTCATAGTTATCTCAATCCACTGCCGTTAGGTTAAGGCGTGAGGGTCGAGTAAATCGTACATTAGGAACGTTTCCGTAAATGTACTCCGTAAGCAAATACTGCGCAATAAGCTCAGATTCCTCAATTAGGAGTGATCATTTTGTTATCGCCTTCGCGCACAAGTCGGTTATTCGATAACGATCTCCCGCAAAGAGTTTCCAGTGAAGACCACATGGGAGCAACTGGTAATTTCGCACTACTTAAACCAATGTTCACTCGATCGCACATATCATTTAATGCCATCACACGGAATTATGCCGTTAAAACATCTATAGAATATCGGAAACGACAGGGACGTTACTTTATAGTCATTAATAAAAACTGTTCTGTATTTTTAAAATATAAACTGTCTTTTAGAAAAATAGGTATATTGGTATGAGGTCGTATTTTAAATTGTAAATTTTTGTAGATAACTGAACAAAAATTTCCTAAGTATATGAATTAGTTGCGATTAATAATTCTATTGTCAGTCAACTTATGTTACACAAGTAAAACTTTCAGAGAAAAGTGATTACGTAAGATATTTATATTAAAAGTAAAACTTGCGGTGGCCCGGAAAATGTGATGTAAAGAGGTGAAATTCAAGTCAAGGTCGCGCTACTACGTAGTATTTAGGAGCTATGCTTGCGTCATTAGGTACATACGCACTACGCAGTACGAACGTTAACTAACCGATAGATTTGAAGCAATTTGTAAGTTGTTTGATGCAATGTTATTATTTTTGTTTACGTGATAATTCTTGAAGTTAAAAGTCAGTTTCAGTCTTGCCGGTTAAGAACTTATGGTAGTATATGTATCTTTGGCGGCACATGGGCGGCAGTATTCACTTAACATCAGGTGAACCGTCTGCTCGCTTGGCACTTTTTAACTAAAAAATAAAAAAAAAACGAAGCAAATGCACTTCAATCCAACAGAGTTTAGGAATGTATGAGCTCATTGAAAAATAGCTAGCATCAGCTGGCTCTACTTACCCAAGGATCAAAATACATGGTTATATATTTTGTTTTGGAAATTATTGCATATAGTTATTATACATATTTAATGCATATAGTTGAATAATTCACCTATCCCATAATATAGCACAATATGCTGGCGTTATGAAGAATTTATGGTCAAAACAACAATGAAATGAATGAACGAAATACGCTTTATTGTACACCAGACAAAATTACAAAAGTAACAAACAATTACATAAATGTACAATTGGCGGCCTTATCGCTTAGGAGCGATTTCTGTAAATGGCTAACGACGATAATTCAAACAAACATGAACATATAATGTATTTTTCTATTTTAATAATACGTACCAAACATGACAAACTGATGAACAAAACAATTTCGCCTCGGTGAGCCACGGCTAAGCGCAACCAACAACAAACATGAAACATTGGAAAAGTTTTAACTGTGGTAGGGCCACGCAATAGTCACTGTTGCACGAATGGGCAGATCCGTCTGGGGAAGTACCACAATCGCACAGTAGACCGCCGTAAAGTAGAAGTGTTACACTTATGCGTTTCGTCTATTGAGTGGGGTTGCCGGGGCCCACTTAATTAAAGGTGGCAACGCTTCTGCAACTCTGCGGTTGTTGCAAATGTCCATGAGCGGCGGTTATCACTTAACAGCAGGTAAACCACCAGCTCGTTTGCCACCTTATAACATAATAAAAGTTACTTCCCTGAGTAAGAGAGGGTATGTAATGTATTGTTTTCATAAACTGTTTTTACGCTTCCGTTATTTTTTCGCGAACAATCAAACAGTGTACGCATACCGTTTTACAGTGGGCGACATTATATTCGATAATATTACACCGTCGACCACAATATCCAATCGAAAGATAAACTGTTTTATAGACTACTTTATCGCAGACGTTGAACGCACACGTTTAGTCGGCTGTCAAAACATCGACGTCAACAACACGCTACTATAGTAGGTAGCGCGCGAACGCGATGCAAATGAACTCGGCCGCATCGCGGCGGCTAACTCTACCTCCCCCCCCCCCCCCCCCCGCACCGCCCGCGACCACTGCCCCGCCCAGCTCAGCGGGTATTAATAGACCTCGGAATGTTATTATTGTTCCTCTAACAGGTAATGATGATAAAAAACTACAATTCATTAATGCAACGAGTCACATAAACAGGTTCGGTTAATCTCAGCATCACCTTCCCATTTGTGTAGCAATATGAAACGTTTCTGTAAACGCGCCGATAAGAAATTTTATGTGTTATTTGGTGTTAAGAAAAAATTAAATGAAATTAATATTCTATGTAGTTAGAAGAAAATTACAATGATTAGTCGACATCGATGCTACAGACACAATCTTTTGATAATTAAACGAACGTGTTTTCCCGTGGTAATGAAAAAACAATCAAGATTTTAGGTTACCTTCACACAATTATGTGTTGACAACATGTAACATTGAACGCCCCGTGCGGTGCGGTTCGCTCCCCTCCTCCCCGCCCCCGCCCCCGCCCCCGCGCTTACTACGCCGCTACTACAGCCTCCGCGCCACCCGCCCGCGCTCCTCAGCCCTGTACCACGGCGCCGCACCGCCGAATGGAATGGACGCCGTCGTAAAAAGCGCGAGCTCAAAGCCACTACAGACGCGGGAAAGTTCAAGGCGATCGAAGGACGAGCTCGGGCGTCTCGTGGTACGGGACGCGCGGTGCGTTATTAATGGCGGACACGGGCGCGGCGTCCGTTTTGCGCTAACTATGTTTTTATATTTTGTAAAATTAAAGCCATTGAGCGGTGAAAAACGGGGATCGTCTTGGAGGCACAACGAGTAGTACGATGTACGCATCGATACGTCGCATTCGCATGTTCCTTCCGATGAATAACATGCTTGTCGTAAATCAATACTCCCAAGTTGTTGCTGGTACGTGGCAGTATCATTCCATTGTTATTTTTACGCGGCGGCACATGATTACGACATAACAGGTGCCGAGACGACTACAATATGCCCGTGCCAATATTTTTATTCATTTTCCAGATATAAGTTTTTAATCGTGCTTAAACAATTTCGCAAAAATATGACATTCTTACATATTCAAAGCTGTTATCATTGGTTGAAGCATTTTAAAATAGAGCGATACACGAGAAAAACAATTATTGCTCGTAACTTCTGCATACAAGGAAGCTAAGTTGTTTACGTGTTTCTTTTAACGGATTTGTTGCGTGACTATCATAATATAAAGCTTCATAATGTTTCGCAATTGTATTGTCTTGTTTATAATTTTTTATCAAGTACGATCATAAATTGCCGATACAGAAGGCGTATTATATTGAATAAGAAAACATATCTGGAAGAACGTGTTATTCTCCACTGTATGGAAATTATTTGTTTTATACATAAATTAGTTTAATGATTATTTTACCATTTCATCACCAGAATAGATTTAAAACTAAAATTCATGTCCGTTTATCGTTTTAATATTAACTGTTGACAAAATGGCTCGCATCCTGCCTGTGCCTCTTTTTAGCATATCGAATGTTAATTCAACAATTAACATATACAAACATGTTTTTTCATTCATCGCAACCAACCTTCACGATCACCTTTACCAATTCTTTTTTCAAATCGGCTCATAAAATGCAGACTTTTTGTGCAGATCCGATCCGTTCACCTATGCAAATATTTTTAACAAACGCTTATGAGGGAACAAAAAACTAGAGACTCGGCCCGGCTGCGTCGGCGGCATCTGCGTCGGTGGGTTTCGCGTGCGGTTGTGTGTGTGTGTGTTTTCGTCGGCGCCGCGGACGCGTATGTACAAAATAGTCCATGCAGTCGGTCGGCGTGTTGCGTGGCGGCCGCCGCTCGGGCGCAGCTCTATTTCCGGCGAGGAGCGTGACTCAGTGCACTTTCACTGCAAATAGAGCCGCCCGTCTGACTCTGCGGGATGATTGGCGTCACTGCGCGGCGTCGGACACGCGAGGTCCACGTGCGCCCATCGCCGCGCCGCTCTACGTCGGCGGACCCGGATGTCCGGGCCGGCTGAGATGTCCCGCATTCCGCGGCCTCGCCAACACGACTATTACTCATAGGCGGGCACTCGTTGAACGCGCTCGCGAGCGTTCTAGAACGAGTAGGCAGCCTCCGGTTCTGATCTTGAATTATATTAAGTATATGCACGGAAGACCGTTTTAATGTTTCTATGTGTCCAATTTTCGTTAAAAAATTATACACGAAAAGAATTGTAATGAGCTATTCGATTTGACAGAATTCAAGAAAGGGAAAGTCGCTACTAGGTTCCGGGACCTGCAGTTAATACATGCCTATTGACAGAATGTAATGTAACAATCCTGTGCCACCTATACGGCTTTGATCCTATTACTTAGGTTTTTCTTCCGTTCCTTAGTCTACTATATAGAACTTAGTATACTGAACTACGAGATTACAAATAACATCAATATTTTACAGAAATCACACCTCTCAAATTTCAACAAACCGTTTCGACCATAAATTTTATTTACATAATAAAAAAAATAATTTTATCAATACAAAAAAATAAAACACATGTTAATATTAAATAACTCTATAATATTAACAGCTCGTGTAGGTGCAGGATCACGAGATCAGCTTACATTTTTATTATATTGTATTCCTACGGTTGAACTATCAAGAAAAATGGACTAAAGAAACACGACAGACTCATATACATATAATATAACACATATTAAATCAGCGCAAAACTGTGACCTACTTAACTAAGAACGTTCTAAACATCGGTAAACACCTTAAAAACCAAAAATCATAATAGTATCCAAAGTGTAAAAAAGTCATCCAACAAAAATACGTTACGTAAAAGTTAAAACAAAAACGCCCGGCGGCATTCTGCAATGCAAACGAGATAATGGGATCTCACGCGCAAAGCAGCGCGTCCCAGCGCAGCGGTGGATACGCGGCGGATACGCGGACGCTATCCTGCGCCGGTCACCGTCGCCCGACGGCGCGCCGGCCGCTTCGCGTTTCCGGTAGCTGAATGGAGATATATCAATGGTCGGGCCGCGCGGAGCGCCCGCCTGTTGTTGTCGCCGTCCATTCACGCGGCCCCGGCTACGCGCGCCCAATGCGAATCGCCGCGCGTTTTTTACCAACATCCGGCCGCAATCACGCCGCTTGCACGACCGTTAACCGCGGCCGCGAGACGGTACGCGATTCAAACTGCGTATTGCGTTACGTATTCGTATCCGCATACCGGCGGATCTAGAGTACTCCAGCGTCTACGGTACTGGGTGGTGTACATTTCGAATGCAGAAGGAAACTATGTGCTGTCTCAACATCTAAATGCTTTAAGGAGTTTATGCGAGTTTTCAAAATGAAATTATAAAGAAATGATATTATATAGAAACAAGTAGTATATATTGGTAATTTTAAAACAAATATTCGAATGAAAAAAATGTCTTTACCAGTAAGTTGCTCCGAATGAGGTTATAACAGACAATATATATAATTATTATAATACACAATATACATCTTTGTGGACGAAGTAATACTTTCTAGTTTTTACTTTTAAAAATAATAGGAGCTTATTCTAAACAAACTATTTATTATTCAAAATTATTTATGCCATATACAGTGTGTCGTTACCATCGCGACAATAAATGAACACACATATAGGGGATAACTTTTTAAAGTTGTATTAAACATTTAAATTCTTTAAACATCAATATTGACAGAGTTATTAAAATTTCCATTTTCCTTACCTATAAAAGCGTCACGTAAAGTTCATTTGTAAAGGTCACGAAGCATATGAATGGGTTGAATGAATTTAAAAGAGACAAAACATACTGTTAGAAGGAGAGGCTTGTAATGCGACGCTGTGACGCGAGTTGTATAGGATGTTACAAATTTTGTTTCTTTTTTACTTAATTAGTTTGTTTGAAAAATATTTTTTTTTTAGTTATGGATTTTGTTTAACGTTAATATTTTTTATGATTATTGGCAAGTAGCGTTAGACGCGTGTTCATTTATTGTCGCGATGGTAACGACACGCTGTATAAGTAAAAGTATATACCTATTACATGGTGTAAGTAGAAGTTCATATTAGATGCCTATTTCATTTTGTACAATAAATATTAGAACAACAAAGACGTCTATAAGGAGTTGCTCGTAAATTTGGTATACATACATAAATAAAATACACACACAAGCATAGTTAAGCAAGATTCCACCCAGAGAAACATACATACATTGCAAGTTAAATGAAAGCTTGTAAAATTTGAAATCAATGTATAGTCCATTCTTTCAAATAGCACAATAAGAAATTTAACTGTTCTGATGGATTATTGAAATGAATATATGACCAAATTACAGCTTAAGAAATTGGTTCGATGTAAGGAAAGAATATTTACAGCAGGACAGCGTTTGCTGTTTGAAAAACTTTTATCAAGTTGCCATTGTTGTTTGTATTTTTTACTCTAACAATAATATGCCAATTAAAGTACAGTTATCTCATTTGATAACTTCCCAACACTCTTAATTGACACGTAGGTATTACAATAGTGTTATTAATGAATAGAGTACACATTTGACCTCTCGTCTTTATCTAAATAACAAACGAGAAATCGGTTCCATTAAACAACCAAAGAATAAATACAGATAAGATATTCAAACTAAAATTTTAATTTTAAATCTTCTATTTGAATAATTTAACTCTTAGTTCTTCAATATTTGTACATCGAAAAATCACACGAGTTTTATCCGATATTAGACCTTTAATGGGTAAAGTTATTTATGGGTATAATTAATAGGACTTGTATCATCTTACAGATCTGTGTATTATATATGCTAGCATTAAAATGACTTTTTTTTGTTACGAAACTTTTTCTTAGAAAGCCTGTCCATATCTATTAAATACCTAGTTATAATTAGGACCTTCACAGAGGAATTAAAGTAATAAAATCATGTTATTTTAATACAAATAAGGTGTTATTTTAACATTATGTTATTTTAATACACGTAGTAAAATGAAACATTTTTTTTTATTTTACTAAGTGTAGATACCTATTTGAAACCTGTATTATTAATGTTTGACGACTGCCCAAGAAGGGTAACATGTCACAATTGTATGTATGAATGTAGGTGTCCTTAGATTAATATCAGTTGTGGGAAACACATAGGGTAGGTATACAACGTGGCGCTACTACCACAACCTTAAATTAACACGCAAATAGTTATTAAATTTTCAAAAACAAATAACTTTAGAACACCCTTACGTATAAAACTAACATAAAGTTTAATTTGTAAAGGTGACGGAGCATATGAATTGGTTGAATGAATTTAATACAGATAAAACACAATGTTAAAAGAAGAGACTTGTAATGCGACGTTGTGGCAACGAATGAAAAAGTCTCTGAATGTATGAATCGGTCTGTTTAGTTGCATATGTGTTATAAATTTTGTTTCTTTTTTATTTAATTAGTTTGTTTGAAAATTATTTTTTTAATTATGTATTTTTTAAAGTTTATATGTGTTTATGATTATTGGCAAGCATGGTTAGAAGTGTGTTCATTTAAGGTCGCTGATGTAAGACCATGCTGTTTATTTCAATACATTATCCGCGAAGAAAATATAAAGGATGGTACCTAGGTATTTTTATAGCAGTCAGGTTTTTTGTGTCATTTAATATCATAATAATTTATGCCTGTTTAGGGATTTTATCTGATTTTTTTAATTTGTAACGAAATACTGACGTTTTTAACACTTTCCAAACTGATGAAATATGTAGTGTAAGTGTTCATGTTATGAATTATGCATTTCTCTTTACGCCTTAATCTAGTTTGACAAAAGCCTTGTAATGATCCTAACAAAACGATTTATTAAACGCGCCAAAATAGATGCCATCTCAAATATTTGCATGAAAACAAAAAGTTTTTACGCTCCAACGCTAAACTATGAATAAATTTGCAGCCTATCTTTCGGGTAAGCGTGTGACGTTATGTCTTTTGGGTGCAGTAGATTAGGGCGAGTGAGTAGAAATGTTTGTTTTGTTCGGCCGGAGACGCCGAGCCAATTAAAACTAACTACATAATAGATCATGTCGGCATCATCGTCGCTATAGGTATAGGTATGTGACGATGGAATTGTACTGCGTTGCAAAACATGTTACGCAACGTCCGACGGGTGTTTATGTTGCCGTAAAACAGTGGCGGACGGTCTTCCAAGCAGCCCGCCACTATTTTCGATTTTCCTTGCCATTTCTTGGATTATACGGGAGCACGTAAGTGTTATGTCATTGGAGCATTTACGTAAATAAGGAAAAAGCGAACAAGTTGATTCGTGAAATCCATTTATTCAATTATATTAAAATATTAGTGGGAAGAGCTTAGAGTGAGCTACACCCGGTTCGATCATCTCAAAATAGTTGCAGTTTTGAAATATGAGCATTTACACTATCGAAACACAAAAACATTCTCAAATAAGTCGCACCAATTAAAAATCGGACCCAGTATTATCGCGTGGCCGAGATTCGCCGCGTTAGCCAACTCTATGTTGTTTGTTCCACGGCGAATTGACACGCAGTTCCAAGAACCGATTAACATTAACTTAATCGCTGTGAACATTGATGGATTGTGAGCCTAGATACTTAAACATTTAAATTTTTTTTCTAGAAGAATAATATACGCCATATTTAAATAGAGACATTTAAATAGAGACGTCGGCATCATTATATGATAAACTTTACGTTTCAAACGGTTTTCGTTAAAACAGAAAATCACAATTATTTATTATAAACCACATGCAAAATTACCTTTAAATTAAAATTTTATATGCAACTTATGAATATTTGACAGTGCAAACGGCGAAACATACTAGTGTCAGTACAATTTATGTCACAATTTAGTATATACAGATGCCACTTGGAATTGAATAAAATAAAAGAACCATCGAATGTTTATCACAAATTTAATGCTGTTATAGAACTAAAGAACAGTCACTTCCGAAAAAATATATTATTTGTTGCAACAAGTTCTGTATTTAAAAAATAATGTTATATCATCAGCCCGGGAAAAAACCGCCGCTACACGGTAAACTAGCGTAAAGTAAAAGAGTGAGCAAGAGGATTTATTTTATGTAGTTAGCTTAGATGCTAAGCGAGCTGTCTGTCCACCTTATGTTAAGTGATAAGCTCAGCCATGGATATTTACAAGACCCATAGGGTTGCAGATGCGATGCCACCTTTTAATAAAGTGAATAATTCTCTTCCTCTTCTTCTTCACATATAGTGTGTATTTTGCCTTTCGACTGAGGAGTTAAGCGATCGGGGTCGAATTTGGCTATTCGGAAAATTTTGTGGTCTCAGATTTTTTCTTATCACAAAAATATCACGGAAGCAGCTCATTCAAATTATACCAATTATATGTGTATAATGTCTATAATATCCTGTCTATTACATGAGGGGTCTATTGATGTAATTACTAGTATCCGGAGAACCGAGCTTTGCTCGGTGTTTTTTTTTTGGTAAATTTTGGAAATTACATTTAGATACAAATTACTGAGTAATGAAATATGCATAATGTTTTTCGATCTTACCGACGTAATAATAAGAAAATATGAACTGATGTTTTTCACAAAAGAAAGAACTTTAAAAAAAAAGGGGAAAAAAATAACAAAATAACAAATCGACAAAAAATTAAAAATAAAGAAAGCAATGATCTGGAATCGAAAAAAAAAAGTAAAAAAATAAATGTGTAAATGATCGTGACGCGAACCACGGCCGTCTGTTTTGGGGCCGCCCGATTACCGACCGAGCTATTATGACATTTTCTCTTGCGGCGAAATTTACCGTCATATTCGAATTATATTTTTCATTCCCTGAAAACAGGGATAAAATGACATTTTCTAAAAATGAAACCTAGCTAGATCGATTTTTCGCTCCCGAATCTACGCACATACTATATATATACAAGAATTGCTCGTTTAAAGGATAAGATTGGCACTTTATTCATGAAGTAAGAACCTAGAAAACTATACATATTAGAGTAGGTATTAGAGTAGGTATATTTACGCGCAGCAGCCTCAGCTGTTGCACGAATGAGCAGGCCCGTCCGGTTAAGTACCACGACCTCACAGAAGACCATTGTAAAGTGGAAGTATG